GCTTGTCACTCCCTCGCCCCAAACATGCCTCATTAGTAGTTCAGTCGAAACACCTATCTGCACCCCTCCCCCCTCACGCTACACACACACACACACACACACACACACACACACACACAAACAGTTTCTTTCTCTTTCTGTCTCTCCCTCCATCTCCCATCTCCCTCTCTGGCCCCCCTCCTGTTTTTCAGCACTAATTAGCTGGCTTCTCCCTCTTCTGTGCTTCCCCAGTCACATCTCAAAGGGAGACGGATATGATTTTTCTTTAACCCAAAGGCCAACTTAATCAGCTGAATTAATGACTTTATTACCCGTTAGGCTTCGGGCCACGCAACACATTTCTCTCTAATGCCCAACGCTCCTCTCTCTCTCTCTCTCACTCTCACTCCTTCTTTTACCCCCTGCAGGAATTTTTACATTTCAAAAATAGAAATAGACAAGAGAAAGAGAGGCGCAGAGACCATGCAATGGGTGGCAGGAAGATATTATGAGAAATATAGTAATTGAACAAATTCAGTACAGGTACACCCTGATGACTGCTTTAACAATTACCTTCAAGTCATTTATGCATTAGGCAGTGTGTGTGGGTGTCTTCAGAAAAAGAAAACAGTATCAAATTGTCTTATTTTAATAATCATGTAATCACCATATCTGGAGGTAAAACTAGGAATATGTGGTTCTTACATTTTTTGTCACATCAGCAACATCAATCGTGTTATTTAAACATGTTTAATTAATTAGCACCCTTGTCTGTCAAAAATGGCAAATGGCAACACACACACACAGACTGTAACTGCAATGAAATTCACTGCAGAGCTCAACATCTAAACACTCTTTTTTTTAATGGCTAAAATACGGTAATTAGTTGATGCATCAGTGGCTGTCAGTAGATGTATTACCGCAATTGAAAAACACCACCGATAAGGAGATGCGCCATTAGTCTTCTCATTTACTTGACAAACTCTAACAGAGCCCAAGGCCTAGACATTGAATTAGGTTCATCTAGAGACAACAAAATAATGAGGTGGCTCTGCAAGTAGGAGACCAGCCTTGGGAACCTTGAGCTTCTTATTGCTGCGACCAGAGGAAACAGCAGTCTGATTATACTGTGCTGTGTTTGTAATGTTTTTGTCTGTATAACTACAGCGGGATAAAGACCGTTAGCAATCATTAGCAGGCAGAGAAAAGCTACATGCATTTGTATTGTTTTAGTTTGACTGGCTGATTTGGCCCATGCATTATGTCCTTCCTTTGATTAAAAGGGATAACATAGATACACAGATGGGTGACAGACAGGAAAAAGCAACATTGAGTGTCTTAGTATGGAGCCACCACGAGCCTCCAGAACAGCTTCAGGGCTCCTTGCCCGTCTGTGGAACTCTGTAGGAGGGATGAACACCGTTGCTCCACATTTACATATGTAACCTTTATTTAAACAGGTTCTCTCATTGAGATCAAGATCTCAATTGCAGCAGAGATCTGAGTACAGGAGACACAGAAAAACAAAGCCAGACAGAACAAAAGGACACAAGCATCAGAGACAGTCACAAACATCACTAAATGGATTTGAAGATGAAAGTTTATATCATTTGGTCTGATGGAGATGGTGGTGGAGAGCACTGTATTGCACTTTGGTCAGAAATCTTCCATAGGTGAAACTGGGCTGACATCATATGACTGTAGCATTTTATTCACATCATTTTCATTGGTGCATGAAAGCATCTTCATTTGATATGTTGCTCCACTTTTATTCAGGTTTTTACTTTACTTTGTCCCCAGATTATTTTATTTATAATCTATATATAAATATCTATAATTTAGTCAATATATTTTGCAACTTTAAAGCAAAGTGGAAAGACTCAGCTAAAGCAGGATATCAGCAACTGAGATCAGAGCTTGCAGCTCTGTGAGGCCGTACATACAGTAGGTACAGCAGGGCTGAATTCTAAAATCAGCATGCTAACTTACTGATGTTTAGCAAGTACAATGTTTTCCATGTTCACCATCTTAGTCTGGCGCGTTGGAATATTTCTGCTGCATTAAACACAAAGTACAGCTGAGTTTTGCAGGATTCATTGCCTGGTTAACAGACACGTCTGTACATAATTTCATGGCATTCCATCCAATAATCGTTTCAGTCAGGACCAATGTGGTGGACTGGGCAACTTTACCGTACATAGAGCCATACTGCCAGAGTGGCTGAAAATTTATTACAAGGCTGATTAGGTGTTTTTTTTAGAATCATTATATTTAAATTGGACTACCTTTAGGGCAACGGAACAAAATCCAGTGCATGGGACCCCTACTGCTTTTAATATATACGTTCTCACAGATATACAAATGACAAAATCACAGATTAAACACATGCATCTGCAGGGGGTAGTTGGGTAATTAGGGAACGGTTTCTAACACATTTATTATTCCTCAAAAATCAGCGATGCTGTAGTGCTTTAGCCTGCACAAACCTTTCTTCCGTTATGACATGCTAGCTGGCCTTGGCATCGACACCTTACAATGATGCTTTAGAGCTTTCTGGTGGCTAATGGGATATAAACACATGTAAGATTTGATTTGAAAACTTAAGGGTGGTGCCAAAGATATGTTATTTTCCCCAACAAATTATTTTTAAATGAACAATAAAATCTTTTTTGAACTGCGAGGCATAATAAACAAACACACCACAGCAATATGCTGAAGATGGCTGTATTTGTCTTAATCAACACCATTATAACCTCTGATGATGCAGTTATTGATAAAACTTGTGAACTGCAGTTTAAGTCTACGGATGGAAAACACTCATTAGCAGCTTATGCCACCTCAGAAGAGGAAGTTGATTATGTGTGAAAAAATAGTGTGCGCACGATAATTCAAACTAAATTGGAAAATAATTTCCACCTGCGAGTTTATTCTATCTCATCCAGTTTATTACCATTATAATTACCAAAACACAGGCTGCAAAGCTATTTATTTATACTGTGAAACTGAACTCGTGTTACATAATCAACTTGTTGTTTTGTTTATGATAAAAATGTATGTTCTCTTTACTGTAACACATGCAGCATGCAAACTAAAAGGTGATGCTAACACATACACACAGACCGACAGTTTGTACAAAAATGTTTAATTTGATCAACTTGTCATGTCAGCAGCAGTGTTGAGATGCAAGGTGTGAGTGATGGTTTTGGTCGAAAACCAACATCCACCCTCTTTTCTTCCTGTTTTACACAGTAGCTCCTGTCCCACAGGACCTATTAGTCAATTACACCTGAGCGCTGCTGTTTAATATGAGCTGAAAACATACCTGAGTTCCCAGCATCAAACACTTCCTTTGCTGTATATATTCTTCCTGTGGTATAAAGTAATGAGTGGAGCGGAGGTGTGCATGTGTGTGTGACATTCTGAAAAAGGGAGGAATTATTCATTAGCTCTCTATTTCGCTCTTTCAGCCTCCCTCCTGATCCTCATGTTCAACAACTCTGGGGCAAATGCAGAATTGCAAATTAGCTCCCGGAAAAATCAAATTAATTGGCCATCCTCACAGGCTTCTTGTCAAAGTTTGGGCTGATGTGTCAACGATTCCCCCAGAACTCCAAACAGCACTGCGCAATATTGCACGGAGCGGAAAAAAAAACAAAGGAGCAGAGCAAAGCACTCCATAAAAACAAAACTACCCTCTGCGTGTCAATTAGTAGAGCACTTAAATCATGCAAAACTTTCAGAGTTGACTTCTCCTAACCGCACAATAAGTCACTCAACCAGGCTGCTGTCACTTCACCCTCTATGCAATTTCACAGTCAGTCTCAAATTAGAAATCAACATTGGCCTGTGTGGTTTCAGCAGCTCTGAAGCCAGAATAATGGCTTTACTGTGGCTTCTCCTACTGCACCAAAAGAAAAAATATCTTTAGGATTTTGCAACGTAAACTAACTTAAATTTAATTCTTTAGTTTTCCCAATGGTGTAGGTTTCCAGTTAGTCTTCCTGTTTTGCATGAACTGTTTGAAACACCTCTATTGATTAGACATACACCCACTGATCATGCTCTGTCAGGCTATCAGCGCTGGTGTGGACCAGTAAAGTGAACGCACTCATGTATTTAAAGCTGCTCTTAAGAGCTGGAAGCATACAGGTCTACTGGATCGGATCAAACAGGTCAGAGCGAAACAGAGCCTGCAGCTGCAACCAGTGAGTCAAAATTTGTCCTAACATGCCATCTAGTGCTGTATTAAGGTATTACAAATTCATATATTACAGTATTTTACAATGGCTTTGGCTCAGTTTTGATTCTTAATGCAAAGAGCCAAATTGAATTCCTAAATCTTACCTTTAAACACATAATGCTGCCCTTACAAACAAAGTGCAAAACACTAAATCACATGGTCAGTCCTCAGACTACAACCACCTCATTTAATTATATTCCTGGTACTGATCCCTGAATCAATGCAACATGAGTTTACAAGCATTTATCCTTTATTCATAATGTTACTCTGGTAGGCAATTGCAAAATAATTGCAAATTACTTCACCGCCACTGCCATACATTTCTTTCCTTTTGATTACCGTGAAAATATTGCAATGCATCGAGTGTAAATTGTGGTTTAACGTTATATACTTTCCACCTTTACATTGTAACTGTAGCTTAATGTATTTTACATGATTACAGTAATCCTCAGAATACGGACACCTCAAAAGGTTTTGTGTTACAGAACACAGAAACAGGCAACTCATGCAGAAAACAACAGTTTTGTCTTGTTTAGATGTAGAATTTACTATAAAGTCAGACTCTGAACTTCACTTCACATATTTACAGCTCTGCAGCATGCTCAATAACTAAAATTATATAAGTATGTTTTTATTTTGTGCGCTACGTAAGATTTTAAGTATTGTAATTTTTATGTGAAAACTGAGCCGAAGCAATATGCACTACACTTTCAAGAATTGTTCAGACACATTAAAAGTTAATGTCATTTAAAAATTCTAAAAAAACAGCATAGATGTCATCTACTGGAAAATGTCTTTAATAAGGCTTTTAAAAAGAGAGGTGATCAAAGTTCCATTTATTTACAAAAATAGATATATAAATACAATTCGGATTGTAAATGTCTGTACAAATGAAGAGTTAAAAATATTGGCTGGTAGTTTCTGGGTACCATAAGTCCGCTGGTCAGAGTACGGAGCGGTATTTACATGCAAACATGAGCCACACTGCACATGCGTTCTCAGGATAGACAAACACGCGAACACGGACCGCAAGCCTCACGTGGTCGCCACGACAACACACTATCTCCTCACAGAATGGAGACCTGCACAGGAAGTGACAAGAGACACAGAGCATTGAATATTAAAACTATGTACTTACACAGGATAAAGACAGGAGATGGATGATGTGACCTTTGAGTCACTTTTTTATGGTGCTAGTCTAATGTCATTTGCCAGGAGCTCAGGACGCAGCTGAGCGCTGCGTGCTCGATTCTGGCAGATTTGCAACAGTGAGAGGTGAAACGTGTGCATGTATTAATGTTCTGTTGCTTTGTGCTGTTCTGATAATGCAAACACCCTGAGCACCTGCAGAAAGAGACACATTAGTTGGTCCTGATGGAGAGATTTTCTCAGCTCTCTCTCTCTCTCCGCAGGGAGGTCAGAGGTCGGGATCTGCTACAATACACTGCAGCTGGTTGGGATTTGCTGCCATAAGCCTGAGGTACAGTGCCAACAGAGGCAAAATGGCAGGTTTGCAGTGCTCAATTGGGCTTAAATCACTGCAGTTTACACAGGTTAGTTTCCACAGTTTGTAGAAATTTTCACACAGCCTCTTTCACCGCTCTCCATTACACCATTTCCCTGAATGGGGTTAACAATCGTATATGAACAGCTTCATATTTTAAAGTTGAATTGCTGTTTTAAGGAACGTTTGAGCTGTGTCTGCTCTAGCCATGACTATGTGAGGTGCTTTGTCTTGTTGTTGTTGTGTTGCTCATCAAACCAAATCCCTATCCACTATGTTGAAATGGCCGTTAAGTACTGAATCTTGACTTGCAATCAAGACGTTGACGTCACAAAACAAAAGTTGGATTGAGTATGACGGTGAGATTTTGTTTGGAGCAACATGAAGTCTACACCCGAGAACCAGCTCACCTGAGGCAGGTTGCAAAGGCTCTGCGAGCGTTGCGGTGCAGGAAGTGGATGGGGAAGCCTTTGAAGGTGTGTCCGTCTGGCACTGCCCTCCTCACTGCATCCTGGAACTCCTCGTTGCCGCAGGAGACGCCAGTGCAACGCTCCAGCTCATAGGCTGACAGTGCAGAGGACAGCAGGTAGGACAGGTGGTCGTCCCACACTGTCGCTAACTCCAGGTCCTGGTGGAGAGAGCCCCACCGGGCCAGACTTTGTTCAGTAATTTACATTGCACAGTAAGACACAACACCTAACCTGTAATTGGTCAAGGGCACGCAAAACACCCAATGGTGTCATATTCATATTGTGAAAGTTAACGCATACACTCACTATTAACTTACGGGCAAAAGACTTAATAAATTAGTTATTCAGTCAATCTGTTAAATGCATTTCACAGTATTACATTGATGATGAAAATATGAACTGCTTACCCCTGGTGTTTTATCTCATTATAAAATTCTGCAATACACATCGTGATCTTCTTCAATTCAATCTCATTAAAATATCCTATTTTTCTGAAATGGGAAATGTGGGCCATTACACGAATGATACCATGTTTCCACCCACTACTGTTACGAGCAATGACATGAGGTAATTAAAAGAGTGCCAGTCAAACCTCAGATGATGAAAAATCGTGTGGGGAAACCTGATGAAAATATACCATTTTTGTTTTATTAAAGAAAAGTGAGGAAGTCATCGCTCCACAGAGATCGGACGGTTTCATCTCTTCAGTGGAAGCTTATTATAAAGTCACATGCTTCGTGTCGTACCTATTCATTGACTATGTTACCACTGCACAGTCACATTTTTAGTTTTATAGATGCGCTTATCTTTTCCACCTCAGCTAAGCACTAAGACTTTTAAAGTTATATTTCCTCACTTATTGAGGGGCTACTTGAACCATAGCTGTCACTTGTCAAAAACACTCTTTCTCCGCACAGCTCTGTTGAGGTAAACATAAGCAAAAACTCGCAAGGGTCCAAGTCTGGTTTAGCACTGTGTTTTACCTTCCTGTGCTCAGAGACCAGGTAGCGCATCTCCAGCTCCAGCTGATTGCTGGCAGCAGCAGAATCCACAGACGGGGCACAGAGTGGAGGCAGAGGGGGCAGAGAGGTGGTGGAGCCTGGGGCGCAAACAGACTTCAGAGCCTCTTCGCTCATCGCCTTCCACCGAGACTGATTCTGCAGGGAAAGAAAGAGGGGGGGAAAAAACAGGCATTTAGCTGATCCAGGCTTATGTTTTCTGTTCACACAGTAGAACCCCTACACCAGTGGTCAGCAATAGGCGGCCCGTGGGCCAGAACCGGCCCGCCAGCAATAATATCTGGCCCAGCGGCCAGATTGTTTTGATAGCAGAAAAATAAAAACATACATAAATTGATAGCGGCTGGTGGTGAAACAGATCTCAGTCATAACAGCAACAGTTACTCATATAATCACTTCCTCTTAAGTGATTGTGCCTCCAAAATAAAAGCGGCAATGCTTTATGTCGAGTTTATTGAGAGCTTTTACTTTGAAGAGTTCTGAAGGAAATTCAAAAGAGTCTCTGGGTTGCTTGACACACCTCTGAAAAAGCTATCAGTAAATGTGTGATTGGATTCCCCTGAATTTCCTCAGGGAAATTAAAATAAGCGTCCATAGGTTTATGAATGCGGATCAAATGCCAGGACGCGCACACACACACCGCAGCACATGCTTTATTGTGAGCATGTGCAAAAGTTCTTATAATCAATTTGTTTAACAAGGGAGAAAAAATATTAACAGTTAGGTGGAATTGATCTTACAACTTGCCTAACAGGAGTCCTGCACAGTACCGACAGAGCTAAAACGTGCACATGAGAAAACAAAGAATTAAAATAAGTTGACTTTGTTCTGGCCTGCCATGTAACGGCTTGAAAAAATTTGGCCCGATGCCAGACTTATTTGCCGAGCCCTGCCCTACACTGTGACCACTGGGGGTTTGCCTTGCTTTAGGGCGACATGGCAGGACAGCAGGTGCTAATGAAAGCAACTGTCGCAGATTAATTTTCCGTACCCACAAACTGGCGTCTGATGACTGTAGCTGATAACCATTCACTCACAAGCCCACTGCTCTCTGCTCCAGGCTACCTCTGCCCTCTGTCTGACCTAAAATCACCGCTATCTGTCTGATTACTATTTGATTAGATCTTCTTTGGCCAATGTAATATTCAGTAGAAATGAGACTTTCCTACTAAAACGAATTTCACCAAACACTGACCCTGGCTATAACACAATACCTGCCAAACTAAAACAACGTGAACAGTCACGTAATGACTTTTCAGTGGCACATTTTTTAACACTAAAGAGCCTCAATAACTACTGTAATAAATACATCCATGGAGCGTGAAATATAAATAAAATGGATTTAATCAGGGTGACGGTTCCCACCCCACCTATCCAGTGACAGTGGTGGAGGAGGGACATCATTCTCTTACCTGGAAGTCAAAGACACAGAGCTCCACAGCATCGGAGGGCTGGCAGTTGGCCAGGAAGGTCTGGTGGTTAAAGACACAGCCCACAGTGCGGTAGGGGGAGGAGGGTTTGGGCTGGGGGGCCAGGGGTGGGGCATCTGGGTCAATGGCTTGATGCAGGTATCTGAGCATAAGAATCGGACATCAAGGCTAATCAGTGTCATTACAAAACACAGAGACAATGTTAGAAAATTACAATGTACATAAAGTCATGACTTAAGTAGTGATAAAATATCCTATCACTCTATTAAATAGCTCCCAGAGTCATGGTGGGGAACATCTAGCTGTAAGCACAGACCTAGTTTATCTCACTGACTTACTGTGCATTGAGGGTTCAGGTATTCTTACGGCTATGTACATGCACCAATGTATAAGAAGCAGGCCTGTGGTGTCCTTGCGAAAATATTGTACAAAAGATCTGAAATCAAGTCTGTCTCCATCCCAGAACTTGATAATCAAATTAGTGATTATCCAAAATGTAATCAACTGCTCCTTGGCCCAGAGCCTGGCCACCAAATTTCATGGAAATCCATTCATGGGATTCTGAGACATCCTGCTGACAAACTTTCAAATAAGCTAACTGAGGCCAAAAGAAGGGGAAAAAAAGCCCTCTGTAGTTGAAATGATTTCTCAGATTTCAATAATGTGCTGTATTTCCTCATATGTCCAACCTGCTGGAACTATTCCGACAGTACACAGCACTGTTGTTGTTTAATTTCTAGTTTGATGCCAGGGGGACAGGGAGCAGTAACAGCAGCTGTGTTACATACGTTATCAGGTGTCTGGATAACAACAAAAAAGGGGAGGGGGGTGGGGGACCTGTGAGCTGTCAAACTCTCCCAGAAGGTGATGCTCCCATCAGTGCCACGGGTCAGGACCCAGGTGTGTGGCATTCCCTTGGCTTTGGTGCCCACACACACGTACGCATCCAGGCCAAAGCCCAGCAGGAGGCTGCACAGCAGGGTGGCGTGATCCTCACAGTCCCCCTGGGGAGAACAGACAGAGTTTGGATTATGGAAACATCATGTTTAGTGTTTAGAGTTCTCTTAGCCTTAATAAAAGGCCAACACACTTTTGTTTTTAACATTAAAGTCAGCTGTACTTCAAGAGCAACAGGACGTTTTTTTTTTTTATATCCTGGTTCAGTTGAGGTAAAGTTATGACAGATTCTTTGAACCCTGGTGTGACTTTCAGACTTTCACAGAGCTCCATTCACAGAAGCTCATGAGGTGTGGTTGAAAGCTCCAAAAAGCTTTCCTTGGTGAATGTACTTGCTCAAGCAAGCCTCTTTGTTTTTCTTGGAGGCTTAATGATCAAAAATAGTATTTTAGTATTAGCATCTTGAATCATTACAATTTTATTCTACAAATAATGACTTTGACCCAAAATATTAATGTCTTATCTTAAAATATTACGACTGGGTTCCCAAAATATTACGACCTTATTCCAGAAATACGACTTCTTTCTCAAATATTAATCTTTTATTTTAAACAACTTGAGGATAAAGACTTCTATCTTGAACTATAAATAAATAAATCATATAATATATAATAAAAGCGAATTCAAAAATAGTTTTTTTCACAAGGTATTACGATTTTATTCTCAAACTATTACAACTTTTCTCCTCCTAAATTGGCCCTAATATGTGCAATGTTGTGCATTCAAATTTAGCTCGACTCTCTAACGAAATTAGAACTGTTTTGTTAAAATATTCATACGTGAAAAACAGTAAAGTGTGACCCCTGTCTGAGACAAATTCATCATCTACACTGTGATCGTATGGGGTAACTTTGATGTATTTTAAGTCACTATTTGTAGTCAGAAGAACAGATTTAGTGCTGTTTTCACGCTATCCTCGCTGCTGGTCTAATTCATCATGTCACTACAACAGTCTGTTTAAACAGAAATACAATATCCTGTTCTTACTGCACTATTAGCCTTTCTCAGAAGTGTTGAACACACACAAGAAAAGCCTGCTGGAGAGGAAATAAGCTCTGTAGTCATCAAATTGTCCATGACAGTAAGCAACTCTTATTTCACTCGTACAACTTTTCCAGTTAAGCGGCCTGGGTTGAGCTGGGGGCTTGTAATGCTGCTGCTCGCTTGGCTCAGGCTTCGGGCAAGTCAGAATGATAGATGTTCTCCAGAAGTGCTAATATGGACGGCAGCATCGAAACGGGCTGGGGACTGATGAGGCTAAATTAATTTTCCCTGGAATGAAACTCATAAATCACAGCTGACAGGGCACTCTTTGTGAGAGGTGTGTTGGGTCTGTCTTGCCAGCCGCTCACAGAGGAGACAGAGAGGAACATTTATCCTGTGGTGGCCTGGGAAATTCCCCAATTCCTATCTAGCTGAGAGATGAAAATGCATCAGTCAGTCCACCCTGCACAGATCCTTCTTTCTCAGAAATGACACTATCGCAGTGCCTTGGTAGCTGAATGGTTACCTTTGTTGCACGTCATCCCCCTCTCTCGCCCTGTCTACCTCACCACCTGTCACTATCACGTAAAGGCAAAGAATGCATAAAAACAAAAAGGAAATGACACAATTAGCTGTGCTCAGAAATGCAGACGCAGCTGACCAGAGAGTACCGCATTGTAAGAATGTAAACATAATGAGTGATAGGGAAAGGAAACTGTCTTGACTTTAAAGCGTTATTTAAACCATCCATCTATGTTTTAGGTGATCTTGTTATTAAATATGGTTCCTTCTTGAAGAATGTTCTTTAAAATAAAGTAATTTAAGTTGGACTTTTTTATTGCCGGTTACCGCTGCTTAGTCGTAACGGATATATTCTGTATTTTGTTTGTACTCCTTGTCATGTAACCGTGGTATTGAACTAAATAAATCTGAATCTAAACGTAAAGTGGCTCCATCAGACTGCAGTGCAGCAATTCAGCAGCGGCTCCATAGCAATCCAAGAATAGGTCTAAACGTTGCGTCGGAAAAAATGTCCACGTCACATTTAGAGTTCATGGACTTGGCAAGTGACGAGATCAGCGTAATCATCATCCCCATTCCCAGGCTGGAGTGTTTGCGCAGAGAAAATATTACAATTTGATGTGATGGAAATGTTTTGTTTTATCTCCACTAAATGGCTGCAGGTTTAAACTGCTGCACTGTGCTGAAAACAAAGGTTGTTTGTCAAGTTGCGGTCTTGACTGTGTGTCTTGAGTTTCGTGTTGCAGTGTTTTTCTCCTTGTAGTGATTCTGATGATTGGATGAAGAAGCATGCATTTGCTGTTTTTGGACTTTGTATTCTCAAAACAGGGCTGTTGTTTGTGGACTGGACTGAATTATCTCCATTGGTCAAATAAATAACACGCAAACTTCACTCCACTACTTATTAGTAGTGTTATTATTTCCAGAATGATGTACTCTTAGATATGCCCAAACTGCTTGGACAGTCTGACAGACCAAAGGAATAGTCATACTAATAATAACAGTGCTATTAAAGAGAGGCCAAATGGAGAATCTGGCCGACTGCCTTGCACTTACTCAAAGACAGCATATCACAAACTAGATACTAAATCACAAAAAGTAATAGTACAGGAAACACATCCTGAAAAAAAGAAAGATTCAAATGAATGTGTAAATAGATTATTAAAATAAATGTATGTGTATGATTTATTTCCATTTGGAATAACTAGTGAAACACATACCGCTTTGGGGCGAAAATCTATAAATCTCCATTGTCTCTGACAGTAAGGAAGTGGCAATACAGTAAGGGCATTGTCATCTGAAAAATGAGTCCATCTCTGTTGTGGCTGCCGAGAAGCCGACCAGTTCTCCTTACCTTCCCTCTACACAGGAAAGCCATTAATGTGCACCACTGTTCCTGCTTGCCGCCGCCTCCTCCCACCACCGGGGCTTTCTCGTGGGCGAGCAGGCTGACGAAGCGCACCGCCTGTCGAGGACTCTCCAACAGCCGGCCGGCCCGGAGGACACGCACGTAGGAACACACAGGCCTGTTGACGCCGTTCTCATCCTGTGGAGAGCACAGAGACGCAACCCACAGGTAATGGGACAGCCTGGAGCCGGGGATTCATTTGAAGAAGTTCAAGATTCAGTAGTCTCTAAACTGGTTAGGAATATTAGGAGTCCTCTCCCCACACCACTAACACATCTAACCAGTATGTGAGCAGCAAATATTAAATTAATTACATTGTTCTGAAGAACTCCCTAGTCAGTGTCTGCATATATATGTAGCCCAATCCCTCTGCTATTCACTCCACAGGTCTATTGTTAATAAAAACTTTGTAAAGAAACTGCCTGATTAAAAAAGGTTGCAAAACTATGTGATATAAAGTTTTAATACACATGTGCATTTAGACGAACCTGTGCAAAGATCTTGACCATTTTTGATTGGTGTGATGGACGTATCTCAAGGAACTCCCTCCACCACTGTTTGGCATAAACCAAGAAGAATCTCTCCTTCTCTGCCGTCCTCTGCCTCTCCAGTGATTGCTGAACGAGAAACACATCAATGACTAAATATAGAGCTTTGATGTTTCTTTTACAGCGCTGCCGTTGTATCAACTCCGATCGATTCTCACCAGCATAAATGGAATTCTGTTGTGACGATTCACTATTAGTTCAAGGGTTTTACTTTATTCATGATTAATGAAGCAGATGAATAAACAGAGGACAGACAGATAAAGAGACTCCAGTGAGCTGACCTGTGTGCTGATGATGTCAGCGGCCAGAGTCTCTGTGAGAGGAGGGTAGAGCTCCAGACTGACAGTCAAAACACCAGCTGGGACTTTACATTCACTTCCTGGTGACACACACACAAAAGCAGACACTGCTTCATTGTAAGCCAGCTACAAATATAATGAAACAACATACGCAGTCGGTTAGAATATATTACAATTAGGTAATATAAATGAGTTATATTACATTTATAGTGTAATTCATAATGCTTTCTAACAGGCAACATACAGGATGGATGTGTGAATAAAAGCATTTGTAAACAAAATCTTCTTAATTACAACAGATGATGCAAGTGGTTACATAGTAGGATGACTAATAGCGCAACAGTGTTATAATTACAGCTAGTTTTCTGTCCCTGCGATTTCAGCCTGATGTGAAGAAGAATTTAACCAAACAATCTCTGTGTGCACAGTTGCATTCAGGTACATTAGCTGAAGAAACAGGAAGGTTTAGTGGTCTCCCAGAAGAGAAAAGGCTTTGTTTGTTATGTGATTAAGGTGAGACAGAAGATTAAGTCCATTTTCTCTGTCTTATTTCTTAGTGTATGATAATTTAAGGGTTATCTTTTTTAAATAAATGAAATGTCTGCCACACATAACCTTTGTGTGACAGATTTACTATTTAGTTTGGAATTTAATGTTAAAGGAGCACTATTATACTGCATTTCCAGTCCTATATTGTAGTTCTGTGACTCCTGTATGGGAGCTTTGCATGATTCAAAGTTCAAATAAAAAAAAATTCATATAGGCCTTAATTTCAGCCTCTGTCTGAAACAAGCTCCTGTCTCTTTACTTATCACTTAGGGGTGTACTCACCTTTGTTGCGAGCGGTTTAGACATTAATGGCTGAGTGATGTGTTATTTTGAGGGGAAAGCAAATTTACACTGTTATACAAGCTGCACACTCACTACTTGTAGCAAAGCGTCATTTATTCAGTGTTTGTGAGATACTGTATATGTACATGACACAATAAACTACTCTACTCTGCTCTAACCTACCAATGAACTGCATTCATCATTCTTCACTTTTAGCCATAGAGGTGTTACCTTGTAAAATACATGAATAATTCACTCTTGTAGTTACTGCAGCAGAATCACCCTTCCTCACCAACTCCCATCAGCTCCACAGCAAAGCAGGTCTTCCCACTGGGCGAGCTGAGCACTGCCCTCCAGTCCAGGAAGTAGGACGAGACCAGCGTTGTCTCACTGGAGGTGTCAGTCTTGATCAGTACCAAGTGAACCGGGTCACACATAGACAGCATGGTGGTCGCATCCGCCATTTTACTGCCCTCTCCTGCAGTGCCAAAAGTAAAAACAAACGTACAAACACAGTACTGACGATGTATTAGGCAACATGAAGCAAGAGCATAACAACCGTTGGTCCTGACTGACACCAACAGTGCCAATTCAAACGTACCTATGCCATCTCTGTGGATCTCTAAGAGGAAGCCCTCCTTCAGATCAGGTTCGCAGGCACAGGGCACTGGCTTTGAGCGAAACCTCTGGTTGCGGAAGTGTAGGTAGAGCATAAATGTAGAACACACCTGACCAGGTAAAGGCTCTGGCTCCTGAAGGTGCTCCAGAAAGGCCTTACCACCAAGCACTTGGAGATACAGGTACCGCCTGGATGGATCGATGTTGGCTGAGAGAATGACAAAGAACAAGCACAACGTGAGGAAAATAGGCTATGCTATTATGTTGGTTTATTCGGGACTCTAAATGGTGTTTCTTACTTTTTTCCAGATGTGTAATATTCTTATCAACAAAGTGAGTTGCAGGTTTTGAAGGTGACCCTGTTTCTGTGGATCCTTCCTACCAAAGCAAACCAACATGACAAAAGGACCAAGAGTCAGCAGGTGACTGACTTTATACAATTCATACAGAGGAGAAATCGTTATCCACACATGGGTTCAAGTTCAAGAAAGTTTTTTACATTAAGTTAGGAAGAGTCAATTTTCACTTGAATGAATTGAAGTGAACTGCTCTCAACCTAATCATTAACTATGTCAGTCTAAAAATTGCTGGCCAACCTGGGTAAAATGTAGGTCCTTCATCACATCATCTATGATGCCCCTGCGCTGCAGAGCACGTAGGAAATCTGCCTCAGACAGAGATCGATGTGCTGGACCTTGGTCATCCCTCACAGTCTCAGCCAGCACCTCTCGGATCTTCCCGTGGATATCCATCTGATAACCAGGAGACACAAAATAAACATCACATTCCCATACACTTCACCCTAAACAAGAGCCGCAAAGAGATGTCTCAGAGCTCACCAACCTTCTATGACATATCTGAATAGCTTCTTAAGACAGACTCCTTTTCATGTAAGGTTATTTTTTTATCTGTGGCTTTCCCCACCCCACAGCGAATTCACGATTAATAAAAATGCCGGCCTGATGAGAAAGATTTTTTAGGTGGTCCTACAAGAAGCAATTCAAACAAACAATAGTTTTGAAGTGTGTAAATATAGCGGCACCAACAAGTTTTTGTGAAGCTTAATATTTCCCACCCATGTTTTCTGTTGATTTGTTGAAGTGTAATTGCAGGATCAAAATAGAATATGCTTTTCAGACATGAATATCTTCATGTAAACACATAAAGCAGTTACAGTTACAAGGACAAAAACAATAAGAATACAAAATAGCCTCAAATATTCCTGTATCAGTGCATCTCTACCTACTGCTACTCATCTGACCTATTTTGCACATTGACAAAAGGTGGAAACAACTGAATAATGTTTCAAATAACGACATACATACAGCCGAACTTAATAAAAGACGAAGTTAAGTGGTGCTTGATCGTTAATTGATTCATCGTGTGAGCACTTTTGTCAATACGCAAGTAGATATTAATTTGCTATATATTTGAATGGCATTTGGCGCAACCCGTTGTTCCTGTCTTCCTTCAAGACAACACAAATGCGTAACTGCTAAACAATGTGTCTAAAGAATTACAGGACACAAACGGACTTTTGTTAAATAACGCAACACATTTAACCTTAAGGAAATAAAAGCTATGTAGTTCGCTCACCTTGAGCAGATGGTTGTGAATGATTTGCTTCAGCTCGGAAGCTTTCTCTGGAGGCAGAGACATTACAGTTGATGAGCCCTCGCTAGCTAGTTTGGGTCCAAAAATAGCTTAGTAAGTTAACCGGGTGCTATCGGGAACTACCAACAACTGTAGTTATCGTTTATGAGCAACATTTGATCCTTGTAAACATTTGTTGTCAGTAAGACAACCAAATTTTTTGGACAGCCTATGGATGATCCCAACTACCCGTTTAAACTGTGGCGGAAAGTCAAGCGGGAACGCGGTGCCTCTGGTGCCTCACAGCGTCCTGTGGCCAAAAATCTGTATGTATATAACAATTCCGGCCTAGAAAAAAGAAATACACACAAAATTAGCTATTCCTGACGGGATACTTAATTTTAGGTGACGTTTATATAATTTTGGCTGAACAAATGTTTGCCATTTTTTTGCAGGGATTGTATCGGTTGCCCTGTTGTCGTCACGATCTGCGTCAACCAGTAAAGGCCCCTTTTGTAGTCCAAATTGTAGTTTGCATTAACAGGCCTGTAAGATCTTTCTACCTCTTACTATTTTTTTTTTTTTTTTTTATATTAAATCAACCTGTTTTATATTTAAGTCAACGTAGACGTTTCTTTACTTAATATATAGCATTTATATGATTATATATTAAACAAGAAAAAGAGGGGGAAGAAATCTGCATTCTGTTTCTTGTATTGAACAGCTCATACAACAAATACAGTACCTCCATCCCACATAAAAAAAGAAAATTAAATTACTACAGCAGTCAATATGACCAAGGCCTCTTCTTGAAATATTGACTCATTTCCTGGAAGCCAGGGTGAGGGGCCTCCAGTCTGGCTTCACTGATTTAGCTCACGGTCAGAATGAAATTATCAGTAAAACACAGCCCAGCACTGCAGACATGGGGAGAGCTGTGGGTGGATACTGAAGCTGCTTTACTGACACTGTAATAAGGAAAAAAAACACAAGTGAACAAGCAGGGTTTGGTAAAAAAAGGATGAATGTTTTTATTTTAAAGAAGTACTTTGTGTTTTGGCTGCTTTATTTTATTTTATTTTTTCAAAACACACATCTGTAATGTTCTCACTGCAGCTCAGCAATGTACAAAACTCCCCTGAAATATATTTATGTGGAAAACAAGGATAAATGGAATGTTATGGCCAAACGCATCTCTTCTGGGTTAAATGAGAAGTGAGTAAAAGCCAACAGTCCAACAATGATAACTAGCCAATCAGGAACACATCAATTAATCTCAGGAGTCAGGTACATGCTTATGACACGTTTGGTGTGCAATCAACTCTGATACAATTTATGAATCACACCTCCAGCTACAACAAACCAGTGCAGTCCTAACATGTTACTCAGGTTATGTGGGGAACAACAGCTTACACAAACCTTTATCTGTTAAGACCATGCTAGGAAACCTTGGAGCGTACATTGTCCCATTTAATTCACTTCAAGGCACATTACAAAAGGTATCTCGACCAGCAAACAACCAGGTGAAGACGTGTATGCCGTCGTTCTCTCCTAACTGGACTCCTATCAAAAGGTGCTCTGCTCAAACTTCTAAAATGCACTATTTTAGCTTTAGATTGGTCCCAGTCAATTGAAAACCAATTCTGTGACAAATAAAATGACAAGAGATCCAACAGGGAACAAAACATTCCACATAATGGGGGTACAAGGTTTCATTATTTAACAGCTTGTCTGGCGGTTACCTTTCAAAAAACGGACAGCTTTGCTTTGGTTTCCTCAAAAACAACAGTGGGATAACCTGATAACATACACACACACACACACACACACACACGAGCCCATCCAGTGGGTAAATACACACACTAAGCGGTGAGCAACCTGACAGCTTGTATGGATCCATGTGACAAACAAAACCTATGAAAAAACACGTGCTCATAAAACAGACACTAAAAAGGTTAACATTCTAGCAGAGTTTGAAACATCAGCAAGGCAGCTCCCCATGAAGTGTCCAGTCTCACAAAAATACATATCTGACCATTATTGGGATGCCCTGCAAAATGTTAATGGAAGAACAAGTGGTGCTCTAGAAAACCTCTAAACGCATGCATGAAATGCAAATTTCATTACACAAAAACAAATGTCATGGCTGACCTCTAGGCTCTGGAGGCTTCCCACGTATCTATGGTAGGATGGACAGTCAACACAAGTCACTTTTAAATGCAAAGTGTGACCACAGATGATCAACACACAATGCAAAAACAAACCTGTCAATTTTTTATTTTTTTTTTGCTTTGTACTGCACCTTTCGTACGCTTCTTTTAAAGCAATTTGCTATGATACAGTACATTCATCAACAGTGGCAAGAAGTAAAGGAAATTATATCATCGTGCTGGCACCAAGATCCTGAGATGTTACTATTTTTTAGATCTTACATGAAAAATATACACACAATCATTTGATCTAGCGCTCCTGCATTTTGACCTTAAGAAATAAATACCCTCAGTTATGCACATATTACCATCTAAAATCTACTTATAGAAGTACCTAATCCCAGGTACTGGTGCAAAATAGGAGTCAGTTTTAAGCGACCCAGAGTGTTTCACTGGGAGTACATCCAGTACACCAGCAGGCCGACAGTCAGAGCTGCCCCAGCACTGACGGTGAGCAGAATGGGTCTCCAGTACAGCCACTTCTCTCGTTTCCTCTCCGAGTCGGTCAGTCTCTGTTTCATCTGCTGGACCCTCTGTGAGGTGCTGGAGATCCTCTCCTCACGGTGTCGCTTTCTGACACTGAAATAAGAGACGGGTAGGGGTAAGTAGTCAGCAAACAACAGTGACAAAATCCAATCGATCTTGTGCACAGTGCTCCAATGTGCCAGAGAATTAAAGAATCATTACATAAGAATGACAAATGAAACTGTAGGAAGAAGAAGAAGAAGAGGGTTAGAGATCAGTTTCTCTAGGTAAACAAAATCATTAAACTGAGCTTGGAAAGCAAGTCCGTTCACACTGTCGAATCCAAAGCTAGTGCAGTATTTAAAACTTTCTTTACAATGAACGTGAGAAAAACTCCTGAGCTGTTACTTACTGCCCAGAGTTCTCTGCCGTGTTGTGGTCTTGGCTGTCTGGATCTCCTGCCGGCAGGTGGTCTTCTGAGGCAGCCTGAGGCTCCAGGCAGGGTCCCGGCTGACCGTTGGGCCTGCTGTCGTTGAGGTGAGGTCTGGGCGGAGGTGGTGGAGGGGGCAGCTCTGGCTCCAAGTTATCTCTAGACACCACTCTCTGCTTGCAGTGCTACAGGCGAAAGGACACAAAGACACAACACGAGGTGAATTCCACCAAATTCAACTTTGTGTTTATAAATTGTTTTAGTTTACACAACAAAAAAAGAAAAGTAAAATGGGCAAATAGAAATTCAGATTGTTAAATAGCCTATGTATATCATATTAAGTTGCATTTGAAGCTCCTCTTGGCAGAATTTCAAGCATGAAACTAGTGGCTGTGTTTTCTGTGGGCTTCTCAAAGGTAGATTTCCTTTGCCAAAGGCACTGCAACAACATTCAAATGGCAGAGCTAAGCTGCTGAAAGACGTTTAATCTTATACTGGTAGACGTTTTAACCCATTAACTAAATATGCATACCAATATGCACTTTTCACAGAAGACATTTTGACATGTCACAGTAGGAAAAGCATAGGTGTGAGGTGCAATTTATACTTATGCGACAAATCAACGGCATAGCCTGTGCATAGCCTTGTACCCTATGCTGTCACCTACGCTGTCGCCTGACATGCACCTCCTCAAAAATGTAACTACAAGTCGAGGCAATGCAGACCATAATAACTGTGATTGGTCGGGTGGGTAGCCTCGCAATGCCTCAGAGCCGACAGGAAGTGCCCATGCTTTTAAGCAAATTTTCCTAGCGGCCAAATTAGCTGCTGTAACATGTTGGATCTATATATTTGATCGTCGCAACCTGAGCGAAATTACTTGTTCCGCTATTAGAATGTGATCCATTCAGTAGCTAATTTTTGAAAAGTCACAGCTGCACGTATACAATTTTACCCCCATTCACGTTAGCCGAGGGCTAAACCGGAAATTAACCTGCTCGGCCGGCAAAAGTCAACACAGTGTACACGGTGTAATTGCAGAACGACTGAGACACAGACGCACAAGTATAAATTCCTACCTACGTGCGCATTCACATAGCCCTGACGCAGGAGTATAAACAAAGCTTAAGGTGTAAAGTAATGATGGCTTAATCCCATTTAGCTGCTTCAGCTCAAGGGTCCTGGTATTGTGCATGCTGGATCACACTGTCATGGCGTACTGGTACACTTGAATGGAACAGAGCCATTGTTAATGTTATCATTGACTACTTATCCAATCTACTATGAGGAGTCAAAATGTGTGCTGTGAAAAGGCCTGTGTACTTGTGGCATGTGAGTACTGAAAGAACAGACTGAAATCTGAACTGATCCTTTAAAAACAGCTAACTCAACTAGACACAATAAGGTGAAAATATGAACACAGCCTATAAAACAGCTTATGTGTATATAATCACTGACTGTTTATAAAGATTGGACAGCAAATGACAGCTCCCCAAAAGTGAAGCCACAACGTATCAACATATCGATCGCCTCCTGGTGGTGGCTACAGTATAGGTCATAATCCCCTCCCTCTCTATGTTAGCTGATTGGACATGGGCCAAACTAACAAAAAATCAAAGTACACGTCAAATATAAACTGAAAGTGCAACAATGCCTGTTTCAGCGCATTAACTAAAACTGTATAAAACAGACAGCACGGTGGTTTCAGTAACAGCCTGTATTCCATGGAATCAAGTTGCAGACTCAGGCAATCACGTGTACAGTCTCAAGAGGTCAGACTTTCACTGACACTTGAGCTCAGCCCAAAGGTGTAATTCATCTCATAACAGCCCAAACGTGAGCCTGAGATGTTGTACAAGTGCAATGTTACTCCCCAGCTTTGTGACTGACTTACCTGTGCTGCTGAGTTGTCTGTCAAGATGAGCTTGGCTCCCTCGATGACAGCCATGTAGGAGAAGCGGAGCTGGTCGGGGGTCTGGATCAGGCCCATGCGGTATTCCCTCATGTCCAGTAGCACCTTCTGTATGTCCACTGATGATGGGTTCTTCCTCCTGTCCATCTGCAAAACAGTGTAGATTTGTGTAGCTGAGTGTTTTTCTACTTTCCTACCTCATGTCACAAGCCCTCAGATTTATTTTGTGACCCTTTGGAGGGGGAAGAACTCTGGGTTGGGAACCATGAACTTAAACTACCTGTATATACATTTGTTAAAACTTGCTCTACTTGGACCAGCTACAACAGCAAAATACTACATGTGCATTGGAGTATCAGTATTAATAATGTATCAGCCACATGAGACATTTTTCTGCACAAGTACTTTTACTTTTGATACTTTAAGTATATTTTGCAGGTAATAAAGCAGATTTAGAAAGCACGACTTTCACATGTAATTGCTGTATTACTACTTTTACTTCTTCCACCACAGTCTATCCCACTTCCTTTCTCCTTTTCAGGTCTGTTTGTGTTCCGCCAACTCAAAGATTTCATTTCTGAATGGGTCCACTTCCCACAGGATCCATTTCAAAATGATCTCTTTCACTTTTAAATTTCATGCTTCTCCAGACCTCAATCTCTAAAGTTGAAGATTGTAACTGGTATTCAGTGCCAAATTATGAAGACTTACAGTGTTTATGGTCATCCCTACCAACTGTCATTCTATGGCTGAAGATAATTCCTCACAGAAACAAACAAACAAACAAACAAACACAGAAAACGTGTAGTTTGTACCAGTACAATCACATTCAGTATTTACATCATTTATTACTTTTCTTTTTAAAATTCATCAAGCCAGGGGTTAACGCATTTAAGTATGATACCAACATGCTAAAACTTCTCCCTTTGCAGCCGTCACTAAGTATAATCATAACATGAATATCCCATTACTCTCTTGCCATAACTTGCAGATGTTGTAACCCTTTTGTTTTCAACATTGGGCAACATCCCTCTTAAACGTTGACTGCACTGGCTTACATTGCACCTCGCTTTTCTTACCAGGACCAGGCAGGTGTCCACCAAGGCGAAGGTCCCTGAGCGTCCAATCCCAGCGCTGCAGTGCACCACTGCTGGCCCATGCTCTGAGCCCAACGAGCCGGACTCCCGAACATTGAAGAGGAAGTTGAGGAAGGAGGCGGGAGATTCTGGGACACCAAAGTCAGGCCACGTGGTGTAGTGAAAGTGGTAGATCTCCCTAGACTCCCCCGTCTACAGCAAAAAAACATGATGTATACAGGTTGATTTGTCACATCGCACACCTATGACATCACAACATTTATCATCTACATACATTTAGACTTCGATGCTGGATGTTACAACAATATAATAGTTACAAGCAATAAGGTATTCTTTATACACAGTAACAGACTGCAATTTTCATAAACTAGACACAGAGGAATTGAGAGTTTTCACCTCGCAAAATATCATCTCGGAAATTGCACAACTGCACATTTAAAAATAGTTGTTATCTAACAGTCTGCGTTTCATGCTCACCATTGTGTTTTGCAGTTCTAGCGTTCGGATCGTGTAATAGGATTGGTCCTCCTCAGAAAGTAGCCTGACAACAAACCCTGTGTCTGTGAAAGACATCTGCAGCTCCTCTGTGGTGGGCCAGTACTGTGCACACTTTTCCTGTTGAGAAAAAAGAACAAACTTAAGTCTTGGATGGGAAGCATTATGCTCATAATCTCCTGAAGGACAAGCTGACTGAAAGCTTGCAGGTTAAACACACATTGATAGGGTATTCATCGCTGGGTGTTCACAGACTGGATTTTTAAGAGACGCCATGAATTCATGGAATCCATCTTTATCAACAAATACCATTACTAATGTAAAGCCATGTGCTATGTACAAACAATGCTTATAATGTTACTCAACCTCAAAAATATATTTTTTTGTTAGTTAAACTGAACAAAAAATTAAGGAGGTGGTATTATGCTAATTTTCAGGTTCAAAATCTTATTTAGGGGTTGTACCAGAAAAGGTTTACATGGTTTAATTTTCAAAAAGCACCATATTTTTTGTCACACTGCAGCTCCTCTTTTCACCCTGTGTGTTGAAGGCTTTGTTTTAGCTATGGAGTGATACATCTTGTCTCTAAATGATCTTTGTTGGGAGTTGCTCATGCGCAGTTCCTACTTAAGGACTACTAGCCAATCAGAAGCAGAGAAGGGTGGGTCAGTGAGAAGCCGGTAAACAGGGCTTCAGTTCAGCTGTATATGTTGCCGACCAGCTTGTTGAGTTTCAGAGTGGTGAGTTATTAATCTTTCATCCATAAAGTTTTAACTGAGAACATTTGCTTTCATCCCTGTGACGTCACAGCCTTTATTATAATTATTTTTTTACTTTCATTGTTAACCTTCCTGGGCAGAGTACGGGTTTCTGACGGGGTCAGTGAGGGAGCACAGGAGGAGCCACCAGCGGTTTTCCTCTGCTCTCTGGACACAACTGCTGCCTTTCTCTTCGTATCACTTGTCGATAGACTTATTTGCTTTTTGACACAATCAGCGCTCCGCTGGATGCCGGATATGCAGCGGTGACTGTGTCCACTATTTTAGCCCACCCTCTCTTTTTAATCTCCCCAGATAAGCGTTACGTGAATTTGGATTTCTTGACGGAGGTCACCAACACCCCTATGTCATCTGTATTGAAGTCCAATGATAGTTGGATAATTTCTGCTCCATTTTCAGTGTAGGCTATGTAGGCTAAAACAGCGATTAAAAGCCATTTAGCTCGGCGAGATGACAAAAGTTGCATCGGTTGCTAGATAACAGACATAAAAGTTAATAACCAATGTTGGATTGAGTATTTAGGACTTCCTAACCTGAGATAAGATAGGATGAAGTAAGATAAGATAGGATTCCTAAAGTTAGTTAGGATTTGCTTCTGTAATACCAAATTATACCAAAAAAATCCTATCTTAACACTTAAGAACTTTCAGTAATACCGTCGCTGGACTACAAACGAGCTGTTTTTAAGCAGTTCAGAGCAGAGTTTTCTGTGGGAGATGGGAACTCCCTTTGGGCTGGACTTTGGGCTTTTTCACTTTGCAAACCTATTGCATGCACAAAAAGGCATATAACTCAATAAAGGAGAGGGAAAAAGCCAAAAAGCATGATTCCATCTCTTTAATAGAAATTAAAAATGGAACCTTGCCAACATTTAAATAGAGATTTAGTCCCAATGGACAGAATGACATGCAAAGTCAAACAATGTATGCAAGGTGCTCTGTGTCTATCAAGATGTGACACCTTAAAACATGTCTCAGACAACATGGGGGCTTAAGAAGTCAATGATCAGCAGGTGCGGAGGTGTACTCACAGATCCCTTTTCAATGATTCTGTTGAGCATAATAACAGCTTTGGAACACTGCTCCCAAATCATCAGCCAGAAATGACCACATGTATTCCTCAAAGGCCCCTGTGGAAGCAAAAGAAAGAAATGTACACCTGCCGTTATCAAAAGTTCACAAAAAAAACTAGATGAAATCCTGCACGCTCTTCTTCAAATGGTCCACTGATTGATTCGATATAAACTTAAGCAGACAGTGACATTGCTTGTGCAACACCGTACCTGAGAAAGAATGTAAGCTCTTTGGGCTTCCTCCACCATGACTAAACTTGCATTGATGTAGTCATTTTCAGAGTTTTCAAGTTTTACCCGACTGTGATCATCTGAAACCAGATGATCATAGGAGCAATTACAAATCAAGACGTCATTTCGCAGTAATACAAATTTTCATTAACAACCTCACTCGTCGTATTACTCACATGGGCTGACGTCTCTGTAGCGGTTCAAATTCCGATTCACTGGAAGTTTAGCCACTTTGTAGGAATATTCGCTGGCTTGGTTACGGATCTCCTGTTGGAGGGGGAAAAAAGAAGACATGTAGGAAGTTAGGACTATCACATTGTGTTGACTTAGATGACGTGATGAGAGACACTTGTGAGACAAATGTGTTCATAAATGTGATATACACCTCTTGCCTGACTGAAATGGTGGCTAGTGATACTGACAGCATTCATGCAAATAGCCCCACACACACACATAAAAGGTCTATAATACAGTATGTCTTTGTGCTGGAGTCATTTGAACTGCCATGACTTGTTCTGATCGTCATTTTGATAACGTTATATTTTGATGTTGAGTGCGGTGTTTTTATTTTCATCAAGTGTATGGGATGAGACCAACGACGATCTCCAAGCCTCAGCTGGATTTTAACTTTGTTATCTCTTTTTCAGTAATAAATAAACAGAAACGTCTATTACGAATACTGATAACAATAAAATCAACTAAAGAAAAACACTAGACTTTGACAAACAGGAGGATAGTTACACTTAAGTAAACATAACACACATTATATATTTATATACACACACAATTCCAATTTCTCAACAAACTATGACGAGAAACTCATCTTCATTAATTTGTAAACTTTTTGTTTACACCGGTATTTTAAGTGTGAGCAAATATTTTTCTGTAACTTCCAAACAGAGTATCAGTTGGCTACAAAATCTCCAGTTACACGTTATCCTCCATTTAGTAGCTAACCAATTTCAGTCTCCGAGCCACAGTTAAACCGGAACCGAAATATTACAAACCAAATACTGGGCTTTTAGACAGCTGGTGGGGAAACACATGCGCTCTTCTCTGGAAGTCCTGACGAGTTCTCAGAAACTGCAGCTGACGTCTGCTAGCGTCAGCCAGCATTAAGCTAACTGAGCTCAACTGTGAAGACTGTGCCGCTGCACGTTTTCTGGCTACAAGCTTTCTAGCTACGGAAGTCAGCGACTAACAAGCGCGAACTGATAGTTTCCTCACTTTCTTCTCTTCACTAAACACCATCTACGCGATGTGATGAAGCCCATTAAGTTAACACACTTAAACGAGTCGCACAGACGGCTAAAAGTAACAGAATACCGGGGGAAGTAACGGGCTGGATATCACATTAGCTAGCTAAGTAAGTTAGCAAACGATCGTCATAGAAACACGAGAGGCCCAGTGTCCCGACTTAACTTACATTGTAAAGGTTTTGCCATTTCCCGGCCGAATCAATTTCTTCAAACTCTTGCTCCATTGTTGGTGTAGTTAGTGCCCTGCGACACTTGCTGGATGATCACAAAGTTTCTGCAGCACCGGTCACCAAGTTACTCCTTTCTGTCAGCCATCTGAACAGCAGTGTGTGTGTAACCCTGGGGATCCCTGCGGGGAGTCTGCTGCTCCTGCTGCACAATACTGATGCAGGCTGGCCGACCTGGGTTGCCAGTTGTGCGTTAATCTCAACCCACCAAATGATCATTCGAGTCATGTAACAGCTGTACGGATGTTTTATTATATATATCGACATATATCACACTTTGATCCTAGCAGTAAACAGAATTTGAATTTTGACAGTTGAATAGTTTGAATAGTTGAGCCTAACCCGAAATTAGTTTTAATATTTAAATTTTTTTTATTGTTCTGTCACGTTATACAGATGGAAACTTTAGATTAACAAATGCAGTAAACATTATATAAACATTTCTGCCTCACAGTTCTCGCGCCTATAAGTCTTCAACATAAGCGTCGATGTAAATGCAGGTAAAATGCTACCAAATCTGGCAACCCCAGTGACCGCAGGACGTCAGTTCAGCAAAAATCTTATCAAGATGTTGCTAACGTTTTACGTTTTCTTATGTTTTCAGAATACATTATGGTTATTGTTCGACAGTCAGCATAAGCATTTCATGAAGAACCTCAAAACATGATTTACTATTTGTATGCACTGCAGAATTAGTTGCATTATTGTGGGCACTGTGGCGGGTGGAGGAAGAGGGTTTGGAGAAGCTTAAACTATGTACAGATTCCTTTCTGCATTGATGGCATCATTGGGTGGGGGTGAGGGTGGTAGAGCTAGGCCAGACATAGTTGTGGAGATTTTAATGATGACTTTTAAACTGGAGAGGTGGGGGTGTAGTGTGGGTTTTCTCTGGGTTCCGGCACGTGTGTGGCAGACCGGGTAGCTAAGGCAAGTTTGAGCAGGGATAGTGTAGATGTGCAGGTGCCACTTGGTAGGAGGGAATGGCCTCAGCACCATCAGTGAGAGACTGAATCATCTATGGCAACAAGAGTGGGATGCAAACAAAAGCGGAGAGAAAGCTGAACAACTTTCGACCTGCAGTTCAGCTCGGAAAAAATAAAGTGGCCATGCCTGGATGAAGTTAAAGTGAGCAAGGCTAAGACTGTACAACATGTCTTAATTTACTGCCCGCTCTATGCCAAGCAAAGGATGCGATTATTCATAAGATTACGCAAACTGGGAGCCATCAGAGGATGGGTACATGGTGGCCATAAAGGGATGGACATGGTCAGAAACAATGCTCAGGTAGGCCGTGGCATTTAAACGATGCCCAATTGGCACTAAGGGGCCTAAAATGTGCCAAGAAAACATCCCCCACACCATTACACCACCACCACCAGCCTGCACAGTGGTAACAAGTCATGATGGATCCATGTTCTCATTCTGTTTACGCCAAATTCTGACTCTACCATCTGAATGTCTCAACAGAAATCGAGACTCATCAGACCAGGCAACATTTTTCCAGTCTTCCACTGTCCAATTTTGGTGAGCTCTTGCAAATTGTAGCCTCTTTTTCCTATTTGTAGTGGAGATGAGTGGTACCCGGTGGGGTCTTCTGCTGTTGTAGCCCATCCGCCTCAAGGTTGTGCGTGTTGTGGCTTCACAAATGCTTTGCTGCATACCTCGGTTGTAACGAGCGGTTATTTCAGTCAAAGTTGCTCTTCTATCAGCTTGAATCAGTCGGCCCATTCTCCTCTGACCTCTAGCATCAACGAGGCATTTTCGCCCACAGGACTGCCGCATACTGGATGTTTTTTCCCTTTTCACACCATTCTTTGTAAACCCTAGAAATGGTTGTGCGTGAAAATCCCAGTAACTGAGCAGATTGTCAGGCCCGTCTGGCAGCAACAACCGTGCCACGCTCAAAATTGCTTAAATCACCTTTCTTTCCCATTCTGACATTCAGTTTGGAGTTCAGGAGATTGTCTTGACCAGGACCACACCCCTAAATGCATTGAAGCAACTGCCATGTGATTGGTTGATTAGATAATTGCATTAATGAGAAATTGAACAGGTGTTCCTAATAATCCTTTAGGTGAGAGTATTTTACTTTTACTTTGCTAAGTGACGGGGTAACTTAAAAGGAGAGATATAGGGAAATAAATCCTTAAATCCACAGGTCTAAATCGCTCTTGGATAATAAAGCTTCAATGGCGATACTATACCGGTGGGAGGCAGCAATGCACTAAAACAGAGCCGAGACTGCCGGAAAAAAGAAGAATAAGCTTTACTATTTTGTGTGAATCATCTATGGTGTGAATGCGCCCCTCTGTGGTCAGCACCGGTGCACACACCACGAGGACCCGCCAAACACACACACACAAGTAGACGCGTGACATGCCTGCTAGCTCAATAGTAAGCTAACTGTTAGTGTTGCTGTCCTATCGTAGTTGCAATCATGTTTGTAGCGCGTAGTATCGCAGCAGATCATAAAGATCTAATTCACGATGTGTCGTATGATTTTCACGGCCGCAGAATGGCAACTTGCTCCAGTGATCAAAGTGTCAAGGTAACCGTTGCTTATAGTGAACTATATCAGTTTGCTAATGTTAGCGTTAGCTGCCATAACACATCTTGTTAATATTATTACCCACGTTATCAACGACCTTAGCTCACTTTTGGATTGACTGACTCTTATTTTCCACCAGTTGTTGACACACGGTAATGTTTGCTTAATCTGCTGCTAATTCTGACTGTTGAAGTTGAACTTTTACTTATTGAATTTAGCTAGTTTTCTAGCCAAGGTGCCTGTAGCATACCGGGCTAGGAGAGCAGAGCAGCACAGCTTTCATGGAAACACTGCAAACACTGCAGAGTTGGCTGGTAGCAACAACATGCATTTGATAAAACCCTTGTCTGTGATTTACATGGTATAATCTAACGTTATTTGTAAACCAATTCAGGATCTCAAAATGAAGAGCTTGTCACATTCAGGTCGCATGTTAACGTTAACGTAGCTTAACCAGTTTGTGCACAGATACTTTAATTTCTTAACAATATTCTCACATCTTCTGTCTCTCAGGTTTGGGACAAAAGTGAGAATGGAGAGTGGCACTGCACAGCCAGCTGGAAGGTAAACCACCTGCTGCTGCTTGATCCGTTTTAACTGGTAAAGGCTTTCCTGGTAAAATAAATTTTATCAGCCGGCATGCTTGCATAACAGCTTACGTTTGCATAATTTCCTTTGCAATTATGTCCTGCTTTGTCTCTTGTGGACTACAGCTTAACATCTGACAAGTGCCTGACAAGCCTTTTCTCTTCTGTACAGACACACAGCGGATCAGTGTGGAGAGTGACCTGGGCTCATCCAGAATTTGGGCAGGTTCTGGCATCCTGCTCCTTTGACAGGACAGCTGCTGTCTGGGAGGAGATTGTTGGGGAGTCCAATGACAAGCAGAGAGGACTGAGCCACTGGGTTAGTGCAACTCTAGCACCCTTCTAAACTAGCAGAACAGACATTTATTTCTTAATCGCACACCGCTCGCCAGTTCAGTAGCTCCTGCAGCGTTCATAATGATGGTACAATTAAACATCACAGTTCGCTGCTAATTGTCACTTTGCCACAGTCTTCTGTTTGATCTGACCCAAGTGTTTTATGCTGTTATCTTTCTAGATAAAGAGAACCACACTAGTGGACAGTAGGACGTCAGTGACTGATGTGAAATTTGCCCCTAAACACATGGGCCTCATGCTGACCACCTGCTCAGCGGACGGAGTGGTGAGGATCTACGAGGCTCCTGATGTGATGAACCTAAGTCAGTGGTCCCTGCAGCATGAGATCTCATGCAAGCTCAGCTGCAGCTGCATTTCTTGGAACCCCTCAAGGTTAGACCACTGATTTACTGTGTATCAAAAACATTTACTATTCTTCATTTCCATAACCGATCACAGAAACTTAACCGGCAACTATCTTGATAGTCAGTTAATCAAGATTATAAAATGATAAGTAAGTAGAATTTGCTGCTTTCAAGTTCAACAATAAACTGAATGTTTTTGAGTTATGAACTGTTGGTTGGACGAATCAAGACATTGGATGATGTCATGTTGGCCAATTGAGAAATTGTGAGAGGCTTTTGTCACTGTTTTCTGATATTTTGTAGACTAAACGATTTCAGCAACTAACTGGCGATTAATCAATTACGAAAATACATTTACATTTATTGAGTTAGCTGACGCTTTTATCCAAAGCGACTTACAATTGCTATATGTCAGAGGTCGCACGCCTCTGGAGCAACTAGGGGTTAAATGTCTTGCTCGGGGACACAATGGTGAATGGGTCAGTGTGGGGGATTGAACCTGGGTGTCTCACACCAAAGGCAAGCATCTTATCCATTGCTCCATCACCACCAATAATCGGTAGATGCAGACCTAATAGGAAGTAAAAAGGATTGTATTTTCTTTTACCCTCTGTTACTGAAAACACCAGTTAAATCTTTGTATTAGTATAACACACTTTGTCATCTAGAAATTCTGCGTATAGAAAGACTGCCGGTGAATTTTACAGATGAAGCTCTGTTAAACTCTGATTAGATCCATGATGTCAGTGACTGAGTTGGCTGAAAGAAGGATAACTCTTGTCAGAAATTCTCATTATTTCACATGCCACTGGTCGTCTTTCTGCGGGCACGTAACAGTACCACTGCTGTGAAACCAGTGCATCTCTGTGCCATTATTTCACAAAGCCTCATGCACTTCTTCTGACACTGAAATATAACATGCCACAGTGGGAAAAGCGCAGGTAGCAATAATAAAAGGAATGATGGCGGAATTCCATTTAAAATAAGCACACTTTGTTGTACATACTGGATATGGCCAATAACTTGCCCTTAATGACTTGCAATTTTTTGCTGCATATTTCAAGAGTTGTCCATTCCTTTTATTATTTATTTAGCTGACGCTTTTATCCAAAGCGATTAACAATTGCTATATATCGGAGGTCGCACGCCTCTGGAGCAACTAGGGGTCTTGCTTAGGGACACATTGGTGGATGTGTTACAGTGCGGAATTGAACCCGGGTCTCCCACACCAAAGGCAAGCATCTTATCCTAAAACTATGAACTGTGACCTCTCAGCTGCCTGTTAATAATACAGTGGAGTTTGAGGATCTGTCAGTGTAATCTTGTGGGTGTTTTTTCTCGCCTGCCACGTAGCTCTCGTGCCCACCCGCCAATGTTTGCAGTGGGGAGTGACGACAGCAACGTAACGTACGGTGGGAAAGTACAGATCTATGAGTATAATGAAAACACAAGGTAGGTGTTCCTGTGTGTCACTCTGATACAAATATACCAAATATAAACAATAGAACATTCCGAATACTTTCTTTTGTAAGTATTTAATATTTGTGCAATTCTTTTAAACCGATGTTAAAAAGGAAATATGCTAAAGCAGAGACGCTGATGACCGTCACTGATGCAGTCCATGACATTGCATTTGCTCCAAACCTGGGAAGATCTTTCCACGTGCTCGCCATTGCAACTAAAGACGTCAGAATCTTCAAGCTTGTGCCTATGAGGTGACTCAATTTTTTTTATCTTTATATATGTGTTGTCAAAGTTGTCATATGAAGGGCTCACAGTACACAGACATTAGTGTAGTCTCTGAGATCCTGAATTTTACATTTCACTAATTTAATATATGTCCCATATATGCAGATTCTTTACAGATGTACTTCTGCAGCTGCTACTGTTCAAAACTGTTAAAATGACAGAACTGAGAACATACCATTATGTAAATACATTTTCTTTAACTTGGATCCATCTGACAGGAAGGAGACCACCTCTACAGGACCCACCAAGTTTGAGGTGCAGATTGTGGCTCAGTTTGACAACCATAACTCCCAGGTGTGGCGTGTGAGCTGGAACATCACCAGCACCCTGCTGGCCTCTTCCGGGGATGACGGCTGTGTTCGCCTCTGGAAAGGTGGGAGCTTATTGTTACTGTCTTGCTTTCATTTTACTGACAGCTATACTGAAAGGTGTTTTTTGTTCATTTGTGCAATATTTCTTTTCAAATCTGCATAAACAATGACTCTTGCCAGGTATTGAGCAACTCTGGCTGATGCATTGTTGGTATCAGGAAAATTAACTTCAACAACAGATTCTCAAAACATCTGAGCTGTTCTGTTGATTGCTGTAGTTAGTTATAGACTGATTAATCGGCTGGCATTTTAAGATTATAGACCGATACCTTCACTCACAAGGCCGATAAACAAAGAATATCTGCAGCCTTGTCAGTGTGGCTGCTGTGGAGCGATGTTAGCACTCCCACTTGTGAGGTTTGGGAAAGTGGTGGAAAAAATTTGTTCCGAGCCCTAAATGTTCTCAAATGACTGTAAATCTAATCTAAAACCATTACTGGTGTTAAATATTTTTAGATTTATTCTGGAGAGAAAACTGCAGTTGAATGATTGGGCAAACACCAGTTATGTTCTGAAATCTAACCCAATGCACTTTTCTATTTCATTAATAAAAAAACAACACCACCACATTACTGGCCAATATACCAATGTGTGTTAGACTGTACTTTGCATAGAGTAATGGAATTATGCATGACTTTTCTTTGTTTCCTTTGCCGCCCTGCTCCCTAAATATCTGCATCAGCCATTGAAAAACCTGTATTGATCGACCACTAATTTGTAAAATACAAGCTGTGGACAACTGGAAAGCTATGTTGGCCGTAACCCCAGATGTCTGCTAGATGGGGCTGCCTCATGTTATGGTTGTACATTTGTTATTTGATACAACAGCGAAGAGTTTATATGTACGCATGCAGCGGGCACAGATCACACCATCTAAGAAAAATATCTGTCTTTTTAGCTTCTAGATCAGACCGCATCCAGACCTATCCGCTGTCCCTCCGGACTCAGACCAATAGCAGATTTAGTATTAAGAATTATTACCTCGTGACGGAGCTTTTCTATTTTAACCCGCGCAGCTTTTCTAGTTGTACTGTTTTAGCGGCCCAGGAAATTGATGAAATATTTGATTTGACAGTCAGTTGTTGACTAAAATCATATGTTGATACAACTATATTTTATGGTACTGAGTAATAACCCAAATTAGTCGTTACGATGTCCCGGACCTTTGCTTCGGAAAATCTTCCATAACTGGACCTCTTTGAATTTTTATTGAATACCTCTGCTCTCACGGTGTTCACTAGTTAGTTGCTAACTTTGTTTGTCTGCTGTTTGGTGCTGGGCAGGTAGTGTAAGGGTGCTTTCACGCCTGCCTCGTTTAGTTTGGTTGAATGGTACTAGAGTTCGTTTTCCCCCTTCGTGTGGTTCGTTTGGGCAGGTGTGAACGCAGCAATCGCACTCGGGTGTGCACCAAAAGCGGACCAAAAGCTTTCAAACGAACTCTGGTGCGTTTCGCTTGTGGTGTGAAAGCAAACGAACCAAACAAAGGATTTTATGATAGCAGACATGTGATGTGAGCATTATTTCCAAAGCTAAACCACTAATAAGTCCATCTGTGAGAAGGATACAAAACAGTGCATCTTTGACCAAACACTGAGCTGAGAGATTCTAAAAAGATCTGTAGAATTAAGGAGAACATGATGAGAACACTTGATCATGTTACAAGCGACGCGGGCACTGATTTTACCTCCTGCGTCTCTCTGCAGCGAACTACATGGACAACTGGAAGTGCACAGGCATCCTGAAGGGAGACGGCAGCCCACTCACTGGCTCGTCTGGTCAGCCCACAGCCATGAGCACCGTGGTGGGCTCGTCTGTTCAGACCTCCCAGAACGCCCTGAACGGCATGTCTGCAGGAAGGTAGGTGGCGTGGTGCGTCTGACGCCACTCAGCAAGCCCAACCCGACCCCGTCAGAACTGACAGCTTTTTATGCCTCACACTGACTGGGACTGCAGCTGCTCACTGACAAACTCCCTGGGCCCACACTGACCAAATGTTTAACTCATGCAAAGAGCTTGGCTTCCAGCATACAAGTTGTCAGCATCAAGCCTGTGGAATTGGGTGTGTTGGGGTGTATATTTTTTATTTTTATTTTTCAATTTCCTCTTGATTTGTACTGATGTGCATTACAAGTGGTTTCCACTCTGCATTGTCACTGTTAGGGCTAAACATTTTCTTGGTATAAAAAGTAAAATAAACCTGTTTATAGAAATTTGATATGTGAGTATTATTTCAAATGCTTGAGCTATTTTGGGATTTACAGCAGGACCACTGTGTTAGGTAACATTCATTTGTAAAGACTGAGGAATAACTTTAGTCTACCACATCTCAACATCCAACATCTTTGTGGCTATTTCCATTTTCAGTTAAGAAATCAAATCAGCGCTCTGTCATTTTCTCCTTATTTCACTTTTCACTTTGAATGTATCCTTGAGCAAGTATTGCCAAACTCTTTGCTGAGCAGGACAGCTTGAATGAACCTCATTAACAAACTAATAACTTCCTAAGATAGACATATATGTGTCTATATACAGGCATTGACATTTATGGCTTTAAAGCCAGACTGTGTAACTTTTGAAAGAAGAGATAACTTGGGATGGTAAGAACAGGAGCTTTAAGTAGCTAATGTTAGCAAAACGTTTGGGAGAAATTGCTAAAGGACGTTGCTAAGACAGATATGTTTTTACGATTATCCCTTAACTGTCAGTTGTGGCCACAGTGGTCGCTGTTCAGCAAAAGTTACATACGCTTGCTTTAAGATTTGGATTTGGTTTATCGATGCTGTTTTGGCTAACAGTATTTTTTTTTCATCAGACTTAATATGTGGATGTTTATGTTCAACTTAATAACCTCTAACTTGACGTGACCTCTGTATTTACCATTAGTGACTGTTCTGAGTCTCCTCTAACCAGAGTAACATGAGATCTGTGTACTGTATGTCATTCTATGTTTATAGGAAATTTTGTAAAATTACTCTACATAAAAATGTCCTTGCATTCCAACTCCTTGTTGACAAATGGTTTGTTGAAGTAATGTGGTATTGTACTGCTTGTTGCATGCAGGATTGGAAAGAGGGCTCCCTTTGCCCCTCCCCTGCGGCAGCTGACCTCTCCAAAGATATACCAGCATCCTGCATATTACTAATGTCTCCTCTGCATCAGCTACCATTTGCGCTTGTGTTAATTCATTGGAAATGTGTGAGTCAAGTCCTAGCTGAGTACTTGAGTATTACTAGTTAAGGACTGCATGAAAACTGCATGCTCCTGTTCTTCACAGCTTTATTTTCATTCCAACATGTTTGCCAGCAGAAGATGGTGCACATACACCTTTACAAAATAAACCTCTGTCCCTACTCTGTCTGCCATTCTCCTTTTCCTGTTGTGTTTTTTGGTTTCTACATGCATCTCTTCTCCTCTTAATCTCTCATTTCTACTTCCTTGTATATGTTTTCCCCTCTGTACTCCATTGTCATGGTCTTTTCCTTGTCCGTGTATTTGTCGTCTTCGTCTCCTTCCATGTCTTTCGTTGCTTCAGGTATTTCTTTCCGCCTCTGGATCCTCCCAGAGCGGGGACCAGGTACGGTCACCTGCTGCCTCCCCCCTCCCTCATAGAGCACTGTGATGCTGAGCCCATTCAGCCTCAGCAACAGGCTCTCCCCCACAGACACTCCTCTAGGGCACTGCTGCCCTTACCAGAGGCTGAAGGGCAGTGATTTGGTCGTTTAAAAAAAAAAGAAGGGACCAGCTTGCGGGAAAGGCAGGGGCCCCACAACTGCCATTCATTTCTAATAAAGATCTTTAATCTTTGTCTGTATTTTTTATTATTTCTTTTTCCTGTGCAAAAATTAGAAAATTTTGGAATGCTTAACGAAGATTGTGTTAAATGTGCATTATATGACCAGGAAAACCATTTTGACAACCATTTTAATGTTAGTCTGTGAATAATCAACCAAACATTTCCTATATTTAACTTTGTAATCTGGTGCTTTAAGTGCATGGCATGTGCAATAATAAGCACATGTATGTATTCTTTTGTTTTGGGTCATGAAACAATGTTAGTGTAGAAGAAATGTTCTTCTTCAACCATCAGTGCCTTCAGAGGAAATGTTTGTAATTATCACTTGGAAGTTTAAAATTGCCCATTGAAGTTAGAATAAATGCAGATATTAAAAGAATGTTATTTCAGACTGTTTTTCCTTCACATGCACAAGCAGAAACTGCACTGGTTACCATGTGAGACAGCTCTTTTATGGAAATGGCACATGATTCATTATCTCATGTCTTTTGTTCAAGATGGCTCCACATTCTTTTTTTAGTCTAATGTTGGGTGAGAAAATAAGTTATCCTAGAAATTATATTCTAAAACACATCAACTGGCAAGATTCTCTAGAAATTGACTCTAAACTGGATGAGCCCTATTTTACAACAACAACAACAACAAAAAATCTGATCAGATTTAGTCATTTCAGGAATGATTGTCCCTGCTGAAGTGTCTCCTAGCAAGTAGCTGAGCCCTACCAATTCAATAGCTTTTGTGTTGTTGCTGATCCCCACTTCATGGATACAAGATATTTCCCTGTAGGGATCAGTTAAGAGACACTATTAATGTGTGAATATGAGGCGTTTCTCTTGACATTTGTGCTCTTAAATTAGGGAAATGAACAGTACATCATTTATTTTGACGGAGGATAGAATTTCATGTCATGGCTCATGACTCATAGATGCTTCTCAAAAACTGGTATGCGTGGGATGGCACTTCTCTCTGCAGGCAGCTGTCTGCTAACCAAGCCATTCTTGCAGCTGCTTGGCAGAACACATGATACAGTAAACTCCACTTGGCCATTAACCATCATACTGTGCGTACTTGGTTTTTATGTCCTTGTGTATGGTTGAAACAACTTTTATTTTGTCTAAGAAGATAATTTAAATTTTTAAGTTAATTCTGCGCGTTTATTTCTATACATTTCGATCATTTTTAGTAGTATTGCTAGTAGTAAATATACATTATGTCTGGAGTGTAAAAACACGCATCCCGCTTCTTTATTTGTAAGGACAGACGCCCGATCGATACATGAATGGGCTGTTTTTTTTTTCCCGAACTGTCCCCAAGTGTCCAAGCCCGACAGAATGGCGTGAATCCCATCCAATCACGATTGACAATTTCCTCCCTCTCAGTTGTGTTGTCCAATCAAAATGGTTTAAATTGGTTAAGTGCCGCCCACATGACATGACGCTCACGCGGGCTTCCTGTGGCTTCTGGGCGCTCCTTGGTCCTCCAAACTGTTACACGGTTTGTTTGATGTGCTTCATTTGAAGCGACAATGAAAAACTCAAGTGTTAAGGAAGTTGCTTTAGGAAGTTAACTAAGCCCAAGCAACGTGTCTGCGCCAGTTTCTAAAGACGAGAGTCGAGTTGGAGAAGAGCCGTGGTGTGTTGGTCCCCCTCCCGAAGTCTTCAACGTGAGTTTGAACAAACGTTTAACGTTACGTGAAGACGATTTCTCTTGCTGAAATTGATTAGTCTTAAAAGAACTGGGTAGCGAGCAGGTTAAACTTACCTGAGTTGTCTGTGCTGTCTTTAACTTGTCTTCTTGCAACACTTCCCTCTAACTCCATGAACGCAGGTTTTTGGAGTAGAAACGTTAGTTAACTCGAGAGCGTGAAGACTGAGTTTGACAAACCCCTTGTTGTTTTTAGCATCTAACGTTAGCTAGCGTTAAAAGTTAGCTAACCTAGCGTAGCTAGTCACTTGCTCTCTGTTTGTTTTGTAATAAGGCCAACATGTACAGTCGCAAAACAACATAACTTACATGAAAATATTCATAAAAGTGTATTTATTTGTATTTTGCAAACCACTCCTTTTCTTCCTTTTACTTGCGTTTCACAGTTGTAAGGTGACATCAACTAACTGATGGTCTCACAGATGATGAACTGAAGGCAAAGCCGCATTTGGCTGTCACCCTACTCCATTCAAAAACATGGCAGACAGTTTTTACAAGTTGGAAGATGAAGCCTTCCCCAGTTTCCTCTGCAAGTCTCTGGACAGCACCAGTGGCCGTGCCACACTGGGGAATGTGACATTGGGTTCAGGCCCAGGACTTCCAGTGGCTGCCTCTACAGTGGCTAAAATTAGACCGGGGTCTGACAACAGGTGGGAGCATGCTGCTGCTTTGGACAGATGTGACTCGTTGTAGAAATTCTGAATTCTGAAATTAAATTTCCTGTTTTGGCAGGTTTGTATTATATGTAGCATTTATATGCTACTAGAAATGGGAATTATTGGTATTCAATAAATGGATAGTAATACATTGTAACAGAACATATGGATGCATGGACTCAGGTTTGTTGATAAGAAGTTGCTGCAGCCCTTTCTGATTTCCCTCAAAAGTAACACGAACTTCCCTGAGGATGTTTGTGCTGAGTCAGTCTTCAGTTGCTAAATGTCACTGTGTGGTGCTAATCATGATGCAGAGCTGGTTGTCTTAACAATCAGTTGTTTTGTGAAAGGAGTGCTATGTGCTTTTGCTTTACAGAGGAGATCCTGTTGAGGCGTCCTATCTGGAGGGGAGAGAGCTGCAGCAGGCTAACCCACAGTCATCTGTTGGAGAAAAGCCCAAGTTTGCCCTCAGCTTCAAAGATGACTTGTAAGTATAAATGTACAAGTAGTTCAAACTGCTGATTTGTGTTTTATTATGTTGTCTGTAGAAAAAACTTTGTCCAATGTTCTAGTTCCTAGAACTTTTTTTGTAATTGCCGTTTTTTTTTTTTTTTTCTCCCTGGCGTACTTGCAGTACTGGTTGACTTCTTTCTGCATTATTTGAAGGAATGCACAAGATTTTCACTTAAATGTATAAGCAGCCATGCTATAAAATACAATGTATATGTATGAGGTTGAATTATTTCACTCAGTACTTTGACTCTAGTAGACTTAGTTCCTCTCTGTCAAATGTACATAAATGTAAATAAAACTTCTGTTAATATATAAATGTATATTGTTTTCATTACTACATATGTATTTCTATGAAGCCATTTCTATTTATTTTTGTGGATATATAATATTATATTTTGCTTACTATAATTAATTCTCCCACCTTTTCCATGCCGTCCTAATTCTTTACATCCCCACCTGTATTACAGGGACAATGCGGATGACTTCATTGCAGCCCATCGTCTTTCAGACATGCTGGTGAAAATTAACCTGGATGAGACTGCTTCTCAGAACCAAGGCTCAATGTTGGGTCTTCCACCCACACAGATGGGCTCGGTCCACGGCCGGCTAACGGAACTTGGAACAGGTAAAAGCTCTTGCTTAGCTCTGGCTTTATAGGTATAACACTGCAAATGTTGCCCAGCCTGAGAGTCACATTTACATTTTTATGATACTAACAAAATCTGTTTTTCTGCCTCCTGACAGATCTGTCAACAGGGCTTCTGACGTTTGCTCAGATTGGACATAAAGAGAGTTCAGATGCAAAGGTACTGATTTTGGTTGTTGTACTTTTTACTTGGAAGTAAGTTAAAGACTCAAAAAGCCCAAACCTGGCATCTATTATTTCCCCCCAGTTTTTCCAGATTACTTATGTGGAAAAACAAGTGAAATCTATTTACCACTTTTTAAACCATCATATTCATACAAAAAAGTATTTTGTTTATTCTCCAACAAAACTGATCAGCTACTTTCCATTGTGCTCCTTTTCCTGGCCGATCCATACAGGCTCAACACTTACAAGCTACATCTGAGGAGGACAACGTGCAGAGTGAGGGAGTGGACAGTGACCATTTCAGTGGCAGTAATTCAAGCTTCCTGGCAAATGAGAAGCTCATGTCTGTGGACAGCATGAACAGCGATATCACAGGTATGACATGCATTCATCTTTTAAAACAATTCTTTTAATCTCGCATAGTGTTACCTGCTTGTTAAATTGTTTACACCTCAGACATCTTTGATATTTTAAGTGCAGAAAATGAGCATAAATTGCCGACATGTTGTGAACATGTGTTTGATTCTCAGATGATGATATTGATTCGAACAACCTGCCTGATGATGAACTGGAGCTGTATTTCAATAAGCTGGTGCCTCCTGCCATGCAGAGAGGCAGAGTGGAGGGTCAGGAGATTCCTGCAAAAGTGAGACACTCTCCGCTTTGAAACACTTTCTACTTTTCCAACTTGTTGCCTTACACAACACCATTACAAAGCCAATTTGAAATAAGTTTAATTTAAATGAATGTTTCATTCAACTCTTATTCACTCTATTTGTCTCAGTGTCTCCATTAATCCATTTTATTGTTCATAGGGACTGCAAGGTGATGATGATGATATATCAAACCCAAGTTCTACAGAACCAGAACAGTATAGACACCAGTTCCTTGATGACTATGATCAGGTGAGCACATGTACATCCTTACTGTTTTGTGCCCTTGTGCTGTTTCCAGGTCATGGTATAAATTGAAGGTTCCTGCACGAAAATATGGTTCAGTTTCATAAATATTACCTGGAAATTTGTGGTTTGGCAAGAGGCCCCGATTGCTCCATATGTCTTAATTTTATAAAGTTACTTTCCTGTCAAGTCTGTCATTACTTTTATGACTCGTGGACTTAAAACAACCATTAAATGTCTTGCCCTGTAGAATTTCTGTTCTAATTTGTTTTGCTGTATTTCGTGTACCATTCTTATTCAGGAGGACTTCCAGATGCCTCATGTGCGTCTGGCTGCTACAGGTATGGACTCCTGTCCTGCCAGTGATGAAGACACGGAGGATGAGCTGCAGTCTGCCAGAAGGAACAGCAATGCTACCAGGACACGACTGTTGCCCAGCACCTCCAGACAGCTGGTCAGAAATGGGAAAACAATATATTTTTTTTCAGATTTATAATAAACTCAAATAACTGTCAATGTCGGCCTCATAAATACAGTATCCAATAACTCCTTCAAAATGTACTGTACAACAGAGTTCTGCTTTATGCAACATATACAGGTCGGAGAGAGTAATCGTCCCAGTTTCAGGCCGGGCTTAGAGGGAGGCAGTTCTGATGATGAGGCTTCCAGTGGCCGTGGTGGTCCATCTCTGTCTGGGATTGAACACAGACGATCTGCTGAGGGACAAGTCATCAACCCTCCAGTCACAGGTGCAATATATAGTTTAAATGATTGTGCTTCACTCTTTTTTTAATTATTTATTTTTTCCTTCTCTGGCTGGAATTTGTTTTCTTGATATTTCAAAGTAAATACATGTTAATGATAAGGTTGGGTATCAATATGGAACCGGTAGCTAATGGGCCGAATTAGAACGCAAATTTCGGTACCTCATTTTAGTGCCACTTAAATGTGACGAGTGAACTGTTTCCCTGTGGTGATCCGATAATGATGTAAGAAGCGTCATCAACATAAATGAAAGGCTACGAGACGACGGGCGGTTTGGCTCAGTCTTTATTAATGCTTCAACAATACAGCCTACTGTGAGCAGCAGCATACTCCAAACGAACGAGCTACATGTTAACTTGGCATCTCTCGCTCTTCAACCTCTCTCTGTCCCGAGGCTAACGCACACACGCTCCCCCAGGGTAGCGAGAACAACAACCACTGCCCCCTAACTATCTGCCAGTTACAGGAAAATAAATGATTACGTCTCTTTAACATATCACACATTTGCTGACACTCATGACACGTTCACTGACCTCCTGGAAAAACTGGAGAACACAGTAACTACAGTAAAGAGCCCTCTCTGCCTTAGCCGAATACAACAGTCATAGTTTAAAGCTGGTTTGTATCATAAGAATACCAACTCAAAATTAATTTTGCATGCTAGTGCTATCACTATTATTTAGTGTTAAATTATCTTAGTTGGGAGAGGTGGTTTAGGATTTATATATTGTGAATTTGTTTGTGTTTTATATTTAAGTACACTTTAACAGTTAATATAATTTTCAATTTAAATAATAAAAAAAGATTTAAAAATCCTCTCTTCGTTTTTTTTATGATGTTATCAAGTATTGATTTGGTACCGGAATTGTAAAAAAAGAAAATACCCAACCACAGTTAAAGGGAAACTTTAATATTTTAATCTGTACCCTATTTTATGTTTTTATGTCTGAGTGACTGCGAGAGTTTACGATAGTGCTGCACCTGGCAGCCATGAAACAGGGCTGCAACATAATCCTTTCAGGCATTAGTGCACTGTCAATGTACGTCTACCAAAGTGTTTGTTTTTGCCCCTGACGGGCTCAGATTGTAATGTGTACGGTCCTTTCCATCATGTTGTCTAGACTACCATTGTTAACTTTTTGTTTAACCAGAAACAGCCGTTCGATCACTCCTGTCAAAACTACCAGACTCCGTTAACAAATACAGTAATTTTACATCTCAGATCATCGTACGTCATTCAAACTTGACACAAACAAAATAAAACTGAAACCAAAACCTTGGTTAGTCTCTCCACTGTTCCAACTATGGTTTGGTCTAAATAAACCCTTAATTCACTGTTAGATATTGGGAGAGGAGCGAGAGGGAGTTTGGGCATCAGAGGGACAGTGGGAAGCCAGCGTCTAGAGCCGGAATATTTTCTGTTGCCAACTGCAGGGCTGTTGCTCAGTACTGGACCAATTCCAGCAATTGTTGTTACAGACACAAACACGGGAAAATAGGGTCCAGGTTGAAAAAATGCTGAAGTCTTCTTCTTCAAGGCTCGATATACATTCAACAAGGCGCTGTTCCTAGTTAGTTTTGAGGGAACTGTGCTCCTCCAACAAACACCGCCTGTCTCTGCCATCCCGACGCACAAAGCAATCTCGGTCCCGGTTGTTCTCATCTGTGACACCACGATGGTGGAATGAGCTACCAGATGCCATACCAGAGTAGGGGCGTCCCTCTCTAACTCCAAGAACCTCTTAAACTGTAAACTGATCTCATCTTAGAACACTTTCTGCAACTCCAGGTGATGGAGGTGGTGGGGACGGGAGCAGTGGAAGTGAAGAAGGCGGAAATGATGGTGGAGTTTCAACCATCCCTCTCCCACCGACTAACATTCAGACCACCTATGATGTCCTGCGTGGCCTGGGGATTGTAGGAAGCAGTGCTGTTGGTGAAGATGACGAGGGCGATCTGAATATTCTGCCAGGACACGGAAGGAGCAGTCTTTCCAGACATACTGAGGTAAGAAATGAGGCTCACTTCGGGCACCTTCCGTTCCATATAGCAGCAAGTTGTCTCATTGGAGCACTTAGGAACAGAGAGGTATCGTTAAGCCGTGCTTGTTTTACAGTGAGGTTTATTCTTGCTGTTTTTGTGCATATTGAGGACTTCCATTTTGTATGCCTCCTAGAGGTGAAACAATTACATGTTTAATGATAAACCACAGTCAAATTCCCGACCGTTGGTAGTACCACATCAAATTTCAGTTATGATTAAAACCGCGTTTGATATCCACGTTTTGATAAACTGACTGTAAACCAAAGTTCGCAGCAGTCTCGGAGGAGACTGCGGCGCAGCATGCAGGTTCGTTTTGGGTCAGTGAAAACACTGAGGAAGGCAGCAACAGTGCTCCAGAGGTTTTTCAGCCTGTCTGAAGTCTGTTCGTATTTTGTTTTTTATACGTGCTGAGCGAAACTTGATAGGAAAAAAAAAAAAACGCTTTATAGGAAATGCAGGATTCGTTAACTTTTCACATAACACGTAGTTTAGTACAGGGTACCTTAAGTCATCCATAGCTTGTCTCGACCTCTTTATCAGACTACGAGTGTGTGTGAGTGTGTGTGTGAGTGTGTGTGTGTGAGTGTGTGTGTGAGTGTGTGTGTGAGTGTGTGTGTGTGTGTGTTTTTTAACTTATCCTTGATGGTTCTGAAGAATGCACTGTGGAAGACATTTGTATATGCATTTATTTGTTACTGTCTAATAATTAAAAAATAATAATAATTCATCCGGCAATAGTTAAATTGGTTGTGTAGACTGTACAAGACTCCTCTATATTTATGTTGGTCTGATTGCAAAAAAAGTGCAGTGCGGCTAATTTGATTTCTGGTTTTCAGTACTTTTTGAACATTTTCAGCACATTTTAACAACGCCAAGATAATGCTGATAACCTATCACTTGGTCACTATAATCCTAATATCTAATGCCTTACATACTTATTGTTTGCCCTCATAATGTGGATTTTGACACTGTTATATTCTATAGTTTTTTGTTTGGTTTTTAAATTTTTTTTAAGATCTTTATTTAAATGATGTTTTGCAGATGGGTGACCGTGTGGGACCTGTAGGAACAGGAGAGACCAGCTCCTCTTTGGGGCCATCAGGGGGAACTCAGAGGCTTTCTCCTGTCAACTGGAGCATGGTCCTGGACCGACAGGGGACACTGGTGAGCACAGATACAAGACATTTTTAATAGGTGTGTTTGACTTCATGCGGCGTTGCGCAGCTCTGACTAAACGTGATGCATGCTGGACTTGACATAAAGCTGATGATACACAGAGCAACTTTTAGCGCAATCGTGCAGGGCAACGTTGCCGTCAGCGGTAATGAGTAAAGATTACTGCCGTAATCCCCTTCCCCCACCCCTCCGCCACCTGCCCCACACCACCGCTATCTGTTCAAAACCTAGTCGGACTTGCCACTAGCAAGATTGCCCAGCAACATTGCTCAAAAAGTTGCCCCGTGTATCATCAACTTTAAGGCATGCTGGTTAGAAATTGTGTCCGACTTTCGCTGGCGCTGCAAAACGTCACCCTGTCACATGACCGTAAATCCTCTCGGGAGCAAAGCGGCTGCAGTCGCCGAGTCCGGCTGCCGTAATTGCTTTTCTCCGGCTGCACAAAGTTGACACAGGTAGAATGTGTCCGACTTGACGCCGCTGTTTTTATACGCCGCCCCTGCAGTCGCCTGCAGCTAATGTTGAATAAAATATGTTGCCATTTCTGCGAAAGTTGGTGATAATCAGTCTGTAGTTGTCCTCTAAAAGCGCAAAATGATAGACCCTCCACTGTCCAACCAATGATTCACATTCTGTTATTCAAATGTAGTTTGTTGAAACCTGCTGCCTGTTTCATACTGTGGACCATTAGGCCCGATGTTTTTAATTGATTTTATACAAACCCTCTATGCTTTTGCCACTTACATGAGTTGGGTGAAACATTGATTAACAGTTGACTGTTGCATAAACAAGAAGATGTGAAGTGCTGCACAATGAGAACACAGGAATAAAGTATTAAATATGACAAGCTTTTGAGGGTCAGTTTGTCAGTGTGGCTCTGATTTGATTGGCAGGATGCCATGGAGAGCACAGAGTCTGGGCTCACTGTTGACCGAATGTTGGACTCAGTCTACCTAAGGAGTGGAGCTGGACTCAGGAGACCTCAGGACACGGCAAACCTAACTGTCTCCCACCTTCAATGCACCCAGGGCAGCTTCCACCTCTCCCAGGTACAACAGGGAAAAATCAGGGTTTTATAACTGTTAGCCATGTGTTCCTAAATGTCAGCAGTATTTATGTGCTAACAATGAAAATATAGAAACTCTCATACTCCCAACAGCATGACGTATTATCTGCTTGACCTCCGTCAAGAGTGCTTTCTGAGTGTGGCGGTTCCACTGTGAAATCAGACACAATCTTTAATAAAATACTATTCATAAGTAAGACATAAATATCGGAACAAATGGTCATTGTTATGCAGCATTTACATCTTTGTCAACCAACCCACTTTCAGGTTCTGCTCCCAGAATGCAGTGATGAGGATGATGATGGAGTAGATGAGGCGGATGGTGCTAGGCCTTCTTTGGGCTTAAGGGGCGGGCCATGTGGTAATGTGACTGACGCAGAGGCTTCAGGCAGTACCAGTGAGGATGACAACAATCCCCTTTCCACCTCCCTGGAACCCAAGTATTTCTCCCAGAGCTTCCAGCAGGAACAGGAAGATTCAGATGATTGCTGGAACCATTGCCCAGACAACCAGGAGCTGGACTTTCAACAAGGCTGGTTTTAGCTTTGATATTTAGATCAGACATTTACTTAGGTGATAGTAGGAACTCATATATAGTGTTATATGTTAACAGCATTGGTTGTCTCTGCAGGTGCCAATGCCACTCATAGTGTGGTGTACCAGAATGAAGAAGGGCAGTGGGTGACAGACCTGGCATATTACTCCTCCTTTGAGAAAGAGGTTGATGGAAAGACATCAGAGGATGTTGGCCAGTTCCAGACTGAGGACTTTGTTCCTGCCAGTGCGTACCACAGCTCTACTTTAATACTATGAGATTGTTCTATTGTAGTGTTTTTGTTTGTACAGAATACCGTAAATAGACAATTGGGCCACTCTTTTCTCCTCTGCAGGTGATGCTATGGAAAAGATAGTTCAGGATCAAGAAGAATTTGAGAAGGAGCACCAATTCATGCAGGTATACTGCAGACCCCCTTTTACCTTGATGTCAGGGGAGTTTTTTTCTGTTCAGAAAACTGATAGTTGTAGCTTTCAGTCTTGATTGGCTGAGTCACCTCAAAAGACATTTCGGAATATTAATGATCAGAAATGTGTTATCACAAACTTAAAATAACCAAATAAATAAAATCACAATTATATGGTTTTTCATAATCAATCAACAAATGAATGAATAATTTATTGTAGTGCCATATGAGACGCTAACATACACTTACAATTTTCAGCATTTTTGAAAAGCACGACCTCTTGTGGTTTATTGTGAGTACTGCTGTTCACACAGGAGGAGAAGATTGAACCAGCCAGCAGCAACAGCACCTTTCAAAGTGACTCCTCTTGGAAGGTTCCCTCAAACAGCCACATCCTGATGAGGGCTTCCCAGGTCTCGTCAGATTTTAAGCGCGGGGACCAAAGCTACCTGCGACTGTCTTTAGGGCAATTTTTTGGACAACGCTCTGAAGCCCTGGGCTGTCTGGGCAGCACTGAGGATGTGGATGGATTTAAACGGGTCAGTAAACTGCTTTCTTGGGTTGTTTGAGAAATTAGTCCGTTGGGGTCTTCCTGTGGATTCTGTTATGAATGCATTCATACGTTTGGCCACTGAAGGAATGTGCATCAACACTGACATTCAGCGGGTGTCTGATGTTGTTGCCAGTGTTTGTTTGTTTGAAATAATTTACAGGGCTGAAGAAGATTGTGTTTCAGCTTAAGTTTGTCTAATCTAATGGTGTGAAGTTGAGGTTGCATTCATGTGTGCCATTTGTCTTTAGCTTTCTGAGAGGGAACTGTAACATTTAATAAAAGCTTGTTCTTTGCTCCTTTAGCCATCCTTTGGCTACATCATTACCTCTCCAGAGAAGAGGGAACCATTCGCCCTAATTCACCCCTCAGAGTTCTCGTCTACAGACACCTCTCCTGAGACTGTAGAGCTCAGTGACGCAGACAGGACACTCAACCCAGGTGTGTTCAAGCTCAGACATGATTTTCTATCTGTCTGTTTGCTTCTTTTAAAATGATTTACAGTGTGCTTTTCTGACAGTTACTCATGATCTTCTCCTTGCAGAGGACCTGGACAAAACTCTTGAGGCACCTGGTGAAAGGATGTCACCGAAAGGGGATACTGATCCAGAACCATGTAAACAGGAGGTACAGGAAGATCCCTGATCTTTTCATATGCTGATATTTGATCATCTCCATTTAGGATTACCAGCAAGGCTGTATGGCTTCTATTTTTTTTAACATTAAATCACTTCTCCTCTTTAGGACCATACCGTTGACTCTGCAGCTGCACTGCCTGACCACAGGGACTTAAGTAACCAGAGCTGTGTGTCGCCTGACAATAACAGCAGCCAGCTGATACTGAGTATCAGCACAATTGCTTCAGCCATTGCTGATGCTTCCATCAGCACAGACCCTTCACAGCTGGCTGCCATGATCATGGAGCTGTCCAAGAGAAGTAGGGCGAGGAATCGACCTGCTGTCAACTGCAGAGAGGAACCACACTCGGCTAAACATGTAAGGCGTTTTTTTCCCCCAAAGTATATTACTGTTATATTAAATAGTCTTTATTTTGAGTTAACATTTTATTTTCTGGGGTTAGAAGTGTTATCAAACAGCTTGACCCAGGACTAGTGCTTCAACCCAAACATTCCAAATTATGAAACGTATTCCTTGTGTTTATTAAAAAGTTCTTTATTAGAACCAGCTGAAAAACGTACTAAGTCCTTGTATGCAAGCCTTCTTCTTTAGAAACTTCTTTTTTTTTTTTTTTGTGGTGACTCCATTTCTTGAATTATGATCTGTATTTTGATGCAGGAATCTGCAAGGAAAATAGCTCGTCAACAATGAAAGTGTGACTTCCGAACTACCCCCTTTACATTTATATCTTAAAGTAGGGCTGCCTATGACCAAACATTCTCCTAGTCGACCAATTAGTCGTTCCAAAGCTCCTGTGCCAGTGCTGTAAACAATCTTGTTCGGGTAGAGTCAGCCGACAGGACCCCTTACTAGCTAATAGCAGAGCCTACAGTTAGCAGCAGTACGGTAGATGTATAACAACGGTCTCTAATAATAATAATAATAATAATAATACATCCATGAGGGGTGTTTGCTGGTAAGTGACTTCCATGGTACAAGTGAAAAGGTCTGTGCTGATACTTTTGTCTCGGCTCTAATGACGAGGTGCAGCTCTCGAATGAAGTTTGAGGTTGTTGATGTTGTGTGGTGTGTTTTTTTTTTTTTTTTTTTTTTAGATGGGCCCTTAAATTAACATTTAAAATAACAAAACTATTTTCCCTGCACATAGATTCTCCCAGAGCTGGATCATAGCGCCGTGTTGGACACACTGCAGAGAAGCACCTGTGTTGGAGAGCTGAGTGCCTTCGACATTGAGAAATACCTGAAAAATACTGAAGTGTCAAGCAGCAGCGATGCCTCTGTGGAACACACTACCTTTGACCTGACCGGCTGGGCTGACAACCTCAACAGCGCTCAAAGGAACCCTCTGGCAGGATATCTTGAGGAACAGGGGAGCTCAGCTCCGCTTGTCGATAAGGAGACCCAACATGAGTCCAATGACACTGAGGAGAAAGCCAAAAGAGGAGAGACAACATTAAACACCAACTCATCTGAAGTGTCTCATTCAAATGCATTATCTCCAGGTCATAAGGGTGACTCAAAGAGAAGTTTCATTCCTCGTCCTCATACGTCTTTTAGCTCTGCCAGAAGGTCTGTGGGCTCAGGCCAGTCTTCCACTCTCAAGGCGTCTCTAGACAAAATGGCAGCATGTGATAACTCTGCTTCATCTGCCACCAAAACTTGTGGTTCCTCAGGCAGGACCTTCACAGAAAGAGGAGTCAAGCCAGGAGACTTGAACCCACACGCATCCAATACTACGTCTCCCTTAGAAACGTCTCAAAAGAGTGATAAAAGCTCTGCTGCCTCACCTGGCTTACCAAGAACCTCACCAGGCTGGAGGAAAGGGCAGACAGGGAGTGCAGGCCAGCAGCAGCAGGGCAGACCCAGTAATTCTTCAAAGAACTCGCCACCCAGGAATATCATGGCTGCTCCACTACCTTGTCACTCTATAGAGAGACATGATGACTTCACTTGCCATAACACCCAGCTTCCCCGAAACTCTGCATCTGGTGAGTAAAAAGCAGAAATATGGCCTCTAATTTAAACGGCACACATGTAAAAGGTGTCTGGACAGTGGTCACCCTCCTTCAAACAACTTTTGAGATCAGTGGCCGCCATATTATACATGATTAGGAAGTATTCCCTGTGAGAATTTTGAGATGGCATCATGAACGTGTATGTTAATAAATTTGTTTCTCAGACCTGCTGAAGGGTTTTTCTGAGCCCTGTGTGGAGGAGACACAGTGTAACTTCAGACCGTCCACCTCTCCGCTTACTCACTCCTCTCCAAGCCAGACCTCCGTTCCCAGTGCTGATGGGTATTGTATCAAAGATGATGTCTATGAATCCAAAGTATTGAAGATTAGTAATTATTATATTTTGTGTGATTAAATTAACCCAAAGTGTTCAGATAATTTAACAAGAAAGGAACTGTTGATTAATTTTAAATATTTACTCTGTTGTCTTGTCTGGTATACTGTGTGTGTGCTGATTCACACTACTGACAGATACACGACATTTGCATTTCGAGTCATTATTCATTTTATTCCCATGTGGTGGTTTTGTCTTGCCAGGATGGTGTCTCCGGTGTCGTCCAGTGGAGGTCTGGCAGACAAACGTCCAGGTCTTGGCCTCTCTCCTCAGTCTCCCTGCTCGAGCCCGAGTCTTAGCAGGCTCACGTACATCTCAATCAACGATGGCACTGTCATACCTACACCTGAGAGGCAAAAGGTACGGTAGGGTAATGTCTGGTATGCCTAACCTTGGCTGCATGCTTGCTCATGTTGCATAGCCAGGTCACTATCATGAGAACATTATTGTTGAAATGTGCTCTAAACTTCCAATGCTGTTGTTACTGGCAATAAAGTTGCAGACTTAATACCATTTTTATTAAAAATAATTGCCCTCTAAATGTGAAATGTTAAACATTTTGAGGAATACAGGCTTTCTCTCTGCCCTAATCACATGGACTATATCTGTTTTCACTGTCACATGTGTCACTTATGAAATGGTTGTGTGCCATGAGTGTAGCATTTATTGTCTCGTGGTGCTTTGCCCTCCACAGAATAACTGTACCATGGCACTGAGCACCACCATCATCCGATTCAGTCCAACTCCACCTGTGGAACCAGATGCACAGTCCAACATTGATATTCCTGCTTTGCCCAAAAACCTGGACCAGGTGCAACCACAGCATTCTAAAAGTCTGGACCCACTACCGGCACAGCACTGTAAAAGCCCGGAGCCGTCACGCAGTGGTTCTGCTCTGAGCTGCACTCGCAGCCAGAGTGAATGCAACTACCACTGCCCTGGTAGCAGAACTAGTGATCTATCAGCTGGTTGCAGGAACCACAATCACTTCTCTGAGTCCAATGTAAGACAGCTCACTAAAGTGGACTCAGGCTATTGCAGTAATCTGAACATTCAGCAAACTACCAGCACTGCAGCTCCTCAGGGCTCTCAGCAGTGGGGAGCTTCTAGCTCGGTGTCGTCGTCGGTGTATGCTGGTGGCCTTGGCGTGCCTCCGTCCTACTCAGCAGAGGGACTTCACTATGTGCCCATTTCCAGCTTTAAGCCCCAATGTACTGGCTTGATTGACCTTCCCCATCAAGGAGATATGCAGTCCCTCCTCAATGGACGCTCTCTCTTCAACTCCCAGCTGGCTCAGCAGTATTTGGGATCTGAAGCTCCATTACATCCTGGTGCTTATCATGTGGGAGCAACAGGAAATGGTCTCTTCAGTATGTCCTCTACAGGCATGGCTTTTCTCTGTACTTTCATAAATAAAGGTGTTTAGTTATATCTACAATAAAATACTAGTGGTGGGCCGTTTATAGGCGTTAATCGAGACTCTTATCGGGCGATTTTAAAAAAAGTATGGCCGTTAATCTATTCTCAAAGTTGGGTTGGGAGCTGGGTCTATAGGGGAGAGCCGGGGCGATTGAAATGCGGGACGAATGAAACGCAGCGATTTTCTCGGAGCCCGTACAAGGCTGATATGCCAAACTACCTCAGAACATACAGTCCACAGTACAGGGAAAAATCAGGTGGATACGTCACACTTTCACAGAGTTATATGAAAGAAGCTGTTTTCAATCACAGAAAGTAAATTCACTCAAGCAATCTTTTGCTCTATGGTCATGATCACATAAAAGATTAGTTAGTACTTTAACACATCCTGAAGTTTTAAAAGTCCAAAGTTTTACAGTTTAGAAGCTAGTGAAGTTTAAACGTCAAGAGTCACTGTTAGGACGATTGAAACTGTTGTTTCATTCGTCCCAACACGCAGCCATTCTACCTTATTTAGATACGGCGGGAGGGGGGCAGAGTCCACTAGGCTGCAGGCTGGACCACCAGGCTATGATGACTTTCACCTTGATATTTTAGCGCACATGTATACCTAGCCGAATTTCACCGTAGGGGGCGAGAACGAGTCTTCGAACCTGTGTGTATGCCTACTGTGAAATTACCACATCAAACGTGACGTGCCAACATGGATGCAGCTATGAAGCAACCGGGTTTGCTTCAAGGAAAATTTATTTTTAAGAAGCTTCCCAATGGTTTTCTCAAGCAGTTTGTGATGCATTTTGGAAACGGGAGATGAGCCCCTGGTCTAATGCGCCACCTGGCTTGATAAACCCGTTCTCAAAGACTTACTTTTAGTCATTATTTGGGTAGCACACATATTCTGAATGCCTTCGGCAGAATTCAAATGAGCCATTTTAATCTAGATTAATTCCAAGATTACAGTGAGATTAATCTAGATTAAAAAAAATTAATCTATGCCCACCACTATAAAATACCCAGACAAATATTTTCAAACAAGTAATGCAACATGATGGTCAAACCCATAAAATGTATTTGTTAAATAGATTCTGCTTCTTATATTCATATTTTCTTTATTATTTATTTATTTATTTATTTTCCTACCCAGGCATACCCAACGGTGATCTCACAGTAAGACACATCCATCCCACATCAGCTCCTCTGGGGATTTCTGGGGCTGTTGGGTCGCTTCACCTGCCTAGACCCCATCACAGACAGCAGGATACGGGAATGATGGGAAAACCCTACAGTCAATATGGTGCAGAGCCACTGGGTGCAGGTGGTCTTGAAGAACTGAGAGGTAGCAGTGGTCTGTTTATAAAGAAGATACCTTCCTTTTACCAGTTTGTTTTTGTTTACTAAATTAAAAAAAGACTGAGATTACTTTTTTTAGTATTGGGCTGTTTTTGTTTATATTCTTCATACCTTAACTAATCAAATCTGTGGGCAACAGAATGTTAAAGACGGGGAGATAATAATTTTCTTGTGCATAGCAGAAAATTGCAACAAGCAATTTCACTCTGAATTTTTAATAGCTGCAATGAATTTTAGTGTTCAAGTCTATGCATTTCGTTGTCTTCACTTAGTACATTTCTTACCTCTTCATTTGCATGGAGGGGCAGCGTTTCCCTGTATCAGCTATCCCCATTCCACTGTCATCCTCAGGCCAAGTGGTGGTGCCAGAGGAACTACGGTTCCCTCACGCCTGCTGTGTAGGCATCGCCTCACAGACCTCCCTCAGCCTCTTCAACCCCTCTGAGAGATGGCAGCAGGTGTCAATCACTGTCACCAGCCTGGCCATCGATGGAGAGAAGGTGAGCATAAAGCACATGGAAACTAATTCTATACAGTGTTCTTCTAAACAAGCTGGCAACACTCATTTAATTATCACTTTTTCTTGTATCTTTGATGCAAATCCCTACAGGTGGATAGCTTGCCTTACCAGTGGCTTATAGTGAAGAACAAGACGATCATTGGCCCTAAGAGTACAGAGGAGCAGAAGGTGTTGTTCATCCCTCCACAGGCTGGTGTCTATCAGTGTGTCCTCAGTGTCTGCTCCTGGCCTGCATCTGCTGAGACAGAGGTTGCTGCCAGGGCCACTATCTTTGCTAAAAGGGTGTTGCTGGTTGCCATAGCAGAGAATCCTGTGCTAGAGGTGAGGGCCTTCAGTCCAAAGATCACACTCTTGACCAAAAATAATCTGCCGCATAAGATTTAAGGCTAAGTGAAATACTCGAGGGTCAAGATTCATGAACAGAGATGGAGTTTAAAAATGACCCATGAATGAAATTCAATATCATGTATAGAATTTTAAGACCGCATCTGAAATTCAATTTTGTTTCTCAGGTTGAAGTAAGTAAATCTGGCTGTCTGGATTTTGGAGACCTTCCAGGAGGCAGTGCCAAATCCCTTCCTCTTAAACTGCTCAACAGAACTCGTGCTACGGTGCCCATCCGTCTAGTCATCAGTGCAGTGAGTCAAAATAGTACATTTCCACATATTCTTACCACAGTTTACAAAGTAAACTGATCCACAACGGTGATACAGTGACCTCCAGTGGCAGCTCTGAGTTTTCTGCATGGTACAGTTGTGGAAGTCTAAAACACAAGTGCACATTTAAGTGCATTCTCCGAGGGTTAAGCAGCAGAATTTAAGACTCCATGTGACCTTTGGCATACAATACAAACCCCTTCTAAGCTAATGACAGAGCAAAAACTAAGGAGTGTTAATAGCGTTTTGACAATATGGAGGGTAGAACGTACAAACATTACTTTAAGTGATCTCTTTTAAATAAACATTAAAACTAATTTAAAAGTCAATGGTCTTAATTTAGTTTCTGCTCTAACTAAATTAGAAGATGTTGTGGGGGGGGGGGGGGGGGGAGTGAAATTGCCTTTTTTAACAACCCAACCTTGCTATGCAAAGCAGTTAAAACAGAGCAGAGAGCATAATAACTAGTATCTGAGTGGTTCACATTTTATATCTCATTTCTGCAGAATGCTACAGCATGGCGGTGCTTCACCTTTTCCAAGCATCCTGTTACCATGACATCTGAGGCAACACCGCAAGCTGGACACGTGACCCAAGTGTCCTCTCCCTCTGTGATGAATCACGTGCTGCATGCCAGCTACGAAGAGGTTCGACTTGGCAAAATTATTACAGCCTTATTCAGCATCTGTCACTTGTATAATTATTTTATGCTGCATGTTTCATATTTTCTGTAAACCTTGCTGAGGTAACTGTGGTTCCAAATGAGTGTTATTAACTTCTGAGAGGCATTAAGCTATATATTATATTTTCAATGGCAGAGTTTATTTCACAATTTGGCAATGTAAACGTCTGTTTTCCATGCCAGTAACGCCCCAATGAATTGGAGATATTATTATCTGACAGTCTATCTCACCAACTGAATAGTCTTCATCCGTCACATGATAAATTTTAGTTTCTTTTTCTTTTGTTTTTCAGAATTCACAGAGCTTCATGGTCTGGGTTCACTTCAAGGCCCCTCAGAAGTACACAGTTTCCTCTGGTAATCAATTGAATACTTAAAAAGCCCTTTATGGATTTAAACTGCATCGTGCTAACAATGTGTTAACGATTTAACGTCACTTAACCTAAAATAATCTGATCTTCCATAACAAAACAAAACCCTTACGTTCTGGTAACTCTTTGTGGTTGTCAGGAGAGCTTGGTCCGGCTGATGAGTACTGCGCTCGGGTGGACATTGAAGTGGACTCTCCTGGTCCGAGCCATGTGATCAACAGTATTCCCCTCAGAGCAAGATCTGGAACCGCAAGGGTCCATGCTCCTAAAGACCTGCAGGTAGTCAAACTGTAATTTGTCTTTTGTTTTTTCAGACTGCAGTGTAGTGGTGTGCAGAGCTACACTGTCAAAGACAATATGCATGCCTTGTGACAAGTAAGTCTGATAGATAACAGATTATCCAAGATGGTGGCGCGAATCCCCGCCTCGATAATACGCTAGTGTGTGTACTATACCATGTTTATGCTTGTTCTGTGTATGTACTTGGAGAGCAGTGGGAGGCTGGAGTCAAATTCTTCGGCTGTGTACAAGGGAGGGCCGATGGCATTGTCTATTGGCGATCAAACAACCAAAACCAACCTCTGCACTCTGTGTGTTCACTGTTGTTTTACCTGGTCTGTGCTTGTAAAATATCTACTGTAACGTAATGGGCTACTGAGGTTTTTGTGACCTAGGGTGGTTTTAGTTCATCATTATTCTTTGTACAACCAATTGGAGCCCCAGTGATGCTGACTCAGGTGACATCCGGTAAGGCAAATTTTAACAGCCTGTACTAGAGGAAGCCTTACTCAACCTTTATTCACAAATGCAGAGTAATCAAGACCTGGAATCAGACTTTGATGTGGAATTGCTATATAAAAGCTATAAAATCATGAATAAATTCAATGGTTTTAGGCGGTGTTTGATATAAACCTACCTTTTTTTTGCCACCATGTTTCTTTCCTTTACCTTTTCATGGCCTTTTTTTTGTAGAGTCAGCAGTTGACAACTTCTTTTTGTGCTTCTTTTGTCTAGACTGTCAGCCTCTCTGCACCGCTGGGTAAATCTAGTCAACAGATGCTGCCATTAAAGAATGCAGGAAACATTGACGTGCAGCTGAAACTCAAGGTAATTCTGACCTTTACTTTTCTTATTAGATGTGGAGTTTTGCTAAGCCTCTGTGACATTTTGGGCTCAGACTGTGGCACATAATAATAATCATTGATATTTTGCACCTGTTTTTCTTGATTTCTGCATTTGTACTTTCTTTCTCTTGTTCCTTCTCTTTCTACCTTGTTTATTCTATTTTCCATGCTCCTTCCCCAATCCTGTCTCTACCCTTTCTTACCTCACTTACCCCATTTTGTGTGTGCCATTTTTTTTCTTTTATCTCTTCTTCCTTGTTTACTCCCAACATTCAAACCACTGTTCCTGTGCGGTTCCGTTCCTCCTTTTTGCACTATTCTTCTTACTTCTATTCCCTCTCATTGTCTCTTTCATTCCTGTTTATAGTGCAGTGATACTGAGGACAGTTTCTCTGTGACACCTGATGAACTGTCTGTGCGAGTGGGAGAGGAGCAAGGCATCATGGTCTCCTTCAAAGCACAGGGCAGCAGGAAATATCGAGAAAGGTATGCAACCCTTTATTGTTTTTACATGTCCTGTTGGTTTTTTGCATTAACCACAATGGTAAAAATTGTGTAAATGAGAAACCACAGTTTCATCCACCCATTCCATAATTGGAGTAAGATATTAGAGAAACCCAGTTAACACCCTTGGGTTTTTGCTGGAGAAACCTGAAGTTTTGGCCATTTCTATATGTAATAATTTTGGAAAAACAGGATTTATAAGTGTGTATGACAAAGGCTTGAGACGGGGAAGTAGTATTGTGACAACATTGCACTGGGATGAAGGGAAAGATGATACATTTAGATTTAATTCACTTGGTATGCTCACTCTGAAGTAATCCTCTGAATCGGGTCGTTATTTGGATTAGCTGTTCTTATCATCACTCTCCTTGTACATCCCAAAACATGTCACACTTTAATCTCAACTCATTAATTGGGATTAATTTGGTTGTGCTTGTTGTTTTGCAGCCTTCTCACCATCTTGGTGCTGCCAACAGGTCCTCAGTATGAGGTAACCCTGAAAGGAGAAGTTGTCCCACAGGACTTGGGGAAACCGGCCATTCCCTCTCCTGCTGTCCTTGGTCCTGGTGTGGCCAACGCTGTTCCACCAATTCTCTCTAATAAACAATTCGTAGCATGGGGAGGTGTCACTCTGGGACGAGCTGTGTAAGCAACCGTTCAATTTTTTAAAATTAATTTCACTATTACTTGGTTACAGGAAGGGGGGGGGGGCACCTTTTATTTTTTACAGGTATCAATTATTCATTGGAAAGTAATCAATAAAAAAACTCGAGGCCCAGTGGTCAACCTTATTCTATTAAGGTTTGTATAATGTTATTCATGAGCAGGGACAAAGGGTGTCTACAGGGAGTGTGATTCCTCAGAAGCTTTTTCAACATGGTGCACAATAAATTTATTGTCCAATGAAAGGAGGTAAAGTACAGACAGCAGTAAGAAAGCTAAATCTCCCGTAGGATGGGTGTGTTGGATCCAGCTTTGACTTGCCTATTCTGCACAAAGTAGGACATTTAGAAATGACTTTCAATATCAAAGCCAAGTTTGTACATAACCAACAGCTGCTTACTTTTCAGCCAACAGAAGCTGGTTCTAAGGAACAACTCTGCCAACGCCACACAGCAGCTACGGTTACTTATTCGTGGTCAAGACCAAGACTGTTTTCAGGTAGATACACTGATCTCATCTGTAGTTTTCTTCCCATCAGGGTTTTGTGTTTTGACATTCTGCTTGGAATCACCTGCAGACCTTATTTTCATTTTCCAAAGTGTCCTCTGTGTGTTAATCAGCAGTTCACTGCAAGTATTTGTGAACTAGGGCGGTTTTAGTTCGTCAGATCATTCTAGTAATAAATTTGATGTGTAGAAATTGGTGAAATTTCCCCTTAAGGGTTAAAATTTATTATCCTAATATTCTGCAATTTCTCATCTAATAAAACAGAAATGCTATGAAATCATAATAGATCATTTGATTTATCATATTTAAACTTGTTTCTCCCTCAGCTCCAGAGTATGTTCAGTCCTGAAGAGCGTCTGACTCGACACGGGGAGCTGTCCATTCGTCCCAGGGAGGATGTGACTGTCCACCTGCTCTTTGCTCCCACCAGGGTGGCCTGCATGTTGGCCAAGCTGGAGATCAAACAGTCTGGAGTTCGGCCTTCACAGCCAGGGGTCAAATTCACTGTGAGGATGTGACTGTTGCTGCCTTGCTCCTGGCTTCTTTCTCTGCAGTCATCTATCACTTTGCATTTTCTGTCTCTTATCCTCTGTGCAATCTTTATCTTTTTACCTGTTTCCCTTTACTGTCTCTTTGCCATGTTTTCTTATTTCCCATAAAAATATATGGACTAAGATTACATTTGGTTCCCATATTTCCCATCTTCAGATTCCGCTGTCGGGCTACGGTGGGACCAGCAACATCATCCTAGAGGACCAGAGGAAACAGGCGGACGGTTATGTGGCGACGCTGACCGACATTGCTGTTAGCCGCGTCAGCAAGGTGTGTCTGTGCGTGAGGAACACCCGGCTCCAGAGCAGCTTTCATAAAAGCCGTGGCCTTCTCTGATGTACAGACACGATCAGTTATGGAACCTTCTGTCATCAGCCTCGCTCCGTCACAGTTTGTTCTGAAGGAAAGGACACAAGAGGTAGGAGAGTGGATACAACGAATATGAGTCACACTCTAGTTCAGGAAAAGAGATCTCTTCAAAAACCCTAGAATAGGAATTGGGGAGAATTTAATGTGAATAAACTGGCCTCGATTTATTATTATTATTATTATAGGTACTATAACAAGATCTTCAGTTCCTTCTTTCAGTCTGTCTGGTATGTGCAGAAATGGGACCTTGTTGCTATAATTTTCGTGTGTTTTCAGGTGATCACTGTGCTAATGAAGTCCACCCAAAGAGAACAGACCCTATGTCAGTCGGCCAATGCACAGCTGGCTACTATCTTTCTTTTCTGTGGAGATGAGGTATCCAGGCAGCAGTATAGGAGGTGAGACCTTTCAACACGTAGTTTAGTTTATTTATTTTTCTGTATGTTATATGAATAAAATATGGGAATTAGTGGAGGATAGTTGATTATTAAATCTGAATTGTCCTCAGGAAACGTTTTATACAAAGCTCTGGCGAAGTGAAAATTTCCTGTATAATCTGAATCGCTCTTGATTGAAGTGATTATATAAATCAGACTGAAAGTACTGTTCTGGACAGCAATGGCAAATGTAAATTAACTTCACTACTCTGTAAACTGTATGCACTTGAGACCAGCAATTTGTTTCCACCATAAGATCCAAAAGGCATATTGTCTATGGACACCTTTTGTTATGCATAGAGCAATATTTGATGCTGCTGCCTACAGGTGATTTTGTATTCTGGACTATAGTTTCAAGCATAACATACATACATGGAGTTTATAGCTCCACTTCCAGATAGTTCTACTTTTGTGATAAAGCTGTTGCCCCTAACGGAGCGTTTGTGTTTTTCTTCTTTCAGATTGCTTCAGAGCAAACCAGAGGCTGTGCGGAAGGCTCTGTCTGAGAACAGTCTGCTGAAAAACATCGACTTTAATGAGAAGTTCCTGGCAGAGGAAAATGTTACAGAGAGTAAGATGTCATTATTTTTTAGATTATTATTTGGTCAAGCTGAATCTGAAAATTTACATCAAATTTAGTTTTCACTAGATAATATTGAAAGTAATCTGCATGTCAATGTTTTCCCATTTAATTGAACAGCGATTTGTACCCTGTAGCCAGTTCATCAGAGCTTTTATATCTGATGCTTTATAAACTGAGGTTTGTCTTTGTACAACTGTGACTTGATGCAGAGATAATAATAGAAATAACAGATTCAATTTAAAAAAAAAAAAAAGAAAAAAAGTCAAGTTTGTGGCTCTGACTAATAATTAACCATTCTGTAGACTACGACCTGCCCCAGCGGCCCAATGAGGCTCACATCTTTTATGGAAACATGAGTAAGATAGTGGTGTCGTTGCTGGGAATTACAAAGAGCACCAACTGTGAGGAGAGCGACCACACTGAGCTGCTGCCGCCCTCTGCCAGACACAGTTCAGAGGCAGACAGGTACTGTTGGAAATATTTTTAACATACTGTAATATACAAGGATGTGGTTCATCTAAATAATAGCCTTCTGAATTGGCAACACAACAGATATATTTTTGTATCCATGTGTCTATGTTGAATGTGTCACTTGACTGTATTAATCAGCATTGTTAATGCATTTAAGTCATACATCTTGATTTGAACTGAATATAGCACACTGATTTGGTAAAAGCAATGCTGGCATATGGGTCTGTACATCTTTTATTCTGAACTCATTTACACAAAATGCATCATGTAAGATTCTCTGCGATGTTGGTATTTTTGCAGCTCTTTGATAACTGTGGTCTTTTGTGTAATTCAACACAATGTAATGCTGTGTGTAATTCCCAGCGGTCTGCCAAATGGTAACGTGTCTCTGGACGTCCTGCCAGTGAAAGGCCCCCAAGGTCCAGCACTGAGAGCGACGGAGCCCTCCTTAAAGGTACCATGAGCCCTCTCTAATGGACTTGAATGGTTTCTTGTGTTGAGCGATGAGTGTTGATTATTTTGGTGCTGTTTCTACTGGATGAGATGGAAACATTATTTCACTGCATTTGACACAAAGTATTAATTTTTCAATGCAGAATGTCTTTTCCTCTCTCCAGGCCTCAGAGCCATTACCCAGGCAGTCCGAGTCGTGGACCATCCATCCAGAACAACTCGTCCTCGCAGCTCCCACGATCAGTGAGTAGACTCCAAATTGCAAAAGCATGTTATTATGTGAACTATTACCACCTTAGCTTTTAAATCCACTGCAGATTTCGAGTATGGTCAGTGAAGCCATCACCTCCAAAACTGCAGGTGAATGACTCTGCAATGGCATCTGCTATTATTAGTAGCCACCAGTCCACATGTTGTTTGTTTTTTAGATGGTGCAGCCACAACTAGTCAGGTTCAGATCCGGAACAATACATCCAGAGAGCTGTGCTTTGATTTGTCCTGGCCCGCTCACTGCCTTACCATCACCCCTCAGCATGGCGTCATCGAGCCTCAGTAAGGATACAATTGGTTGTTCAATTAAATAAATTTGCTACGGTAAAGTCAAGGTTTTTGGGTGATGTTTACTGAATGTCTTTCTATTTATTTACCTTGTTTTATTTGCATTTACCCCACTGTGTAAACCATTATGTTACACATACAGTGGAGATAGTTATTTATGTAATTGTGGCAGCTCAGCCCTTTAAAGCTATTGTAATTAAAGCTTCTATAAATTAACAGTTATGAAAAGAAAGCCCAATCATAATCTGTTTGACTGTATATAAATGTATATATTTAGTTCTACTTTCGTGTTTGTATTTCTCATTAAATTATTGTTTACCAAGGTGCCACCTGCAGATTTTGATCAGCCCCAACCCTTCACTAGCAACTAAATCTGCCCTGCTGCCATGGAGTGGACAGATTTATGTCCAGTGCGATGGTCAACAGAAGGTATGGAACACTTGGGACAGGCAGCTTTTTGCACCTCAAGAACAGTCGATCATGAATTTTGTGTGGACTTTAACAAGAGCTAAATTTGTGCAATGTGACTACTGCTTCAGTTTATTAAGGTCCAGATTCGCCGGGACCTGGCTCTGGATGTGTCCGCGACCCCAGCAGACACAACTTTGTCAGCCCTGCCTCCTCAGGCTGCCACCCCAGTGCTGCCTGTGGGCAGGGTCTCCAACAGGCCCTCGCTTCCCCCGCAGACCCCACAGGCATCTCAAGCCCTGGTGGAGATTAGCAACAAGACCATCGTCTTCCCCACCACTCCCTCGGGGGAAACATCAGGTAGGGCGATGACTGGCTAAAGGACCTAAGTTGCTTTGTTCACCTTCATTTGGATTTTAGAATAGAGCAGAACGCAGCCTGAACACAATCATCTAGAAGCCTAATAAAGTTTTTGTGAAAACTATTTTGTGTGTGTGTTTGTTTTCCTGTGACAAACTCTATGTTGCTCCTCTACTTCAGAGGCCCAGCTGGAGGTGCAGAATGGGGAAGTGGAGGTGAGGTGGTACCTCTCATCATTTGCTCCTCCATATGTCAAGGTACTTTTTCTTCATTATCTCTTTCTTCTGTCAGTCATTACTGTTTTTCAGTTTCTTCCCTTTATCGTCCCCCTTTGGTAAACAGGTGCTTTTCTTTTGTAGTTTCTTTCCAACTTCTTTTGAATTTAGTCTAGGTTACTATGTAAGTGTAGCTAAAATCTTTTCTTTTGTTGCGTGACTCTATTTTGGTAATATGTTTATTTTGTAGTTTCACACTCTAGTTGTTTAGACTTGTTACTGGCGATTGTATGATGTGGTGCCTTCTCTCTCCTCAGGGGGTTGACAACACCGGAGATGTTTACCGGGCCACTTACACTGCTTTCAGATGTTCCAGGGTCTCAGGCACTTTGGGAGACCATGAGAAGATGCAGGTAGGCACTCTCATCCAAAAGGACTTGTAAGTCTAACATTTAGAACAGGTCGTAAGGGATAAGACAAGTGCATTAGGTTAAGTTTAGGGTGCTAGATCAATATTTTTTGCCTACAGGGTCCACATAGGAACACAAACGCTACATTCAGATTTCGGTTTTGTTTTAGAAGGGTTGTATGATTAATTGCATTTGCAATATTATCGCTATATAAGATGAGAAACTGTAATTACGCTCTGGTCACATGATACGCGGGAGGAAGCATCAACTTCGCACATTAAGCTGTACCTTGACTTGTTGTTGTTCAACAGCCTTAAGCTTGACAGAAGCTGACACTACAGAAATTTTGTGTCACACAGGGAATGAAAGTAGCACCCGCCACCCGCAGGTAACTTGGTTGTGTTGGTGGTTGAAATCTTCTGGGCATCTGTCGCTCTGGCAGTGTGTGTGACAGCCTGCGTCACACACACAGCCACCAAGTCAGCTCAGGAAATATCTGTGAAACGGTGTTTCAAACCAAACACACAAGTCCGAAAGAGGCCCAGTCTGTCCCGCGTTACAGCCGGTGCGATGCTTACCAGCATCTGAGAACTCTGGTGTTGTCAGAGAATTACTGAGCTTGTCTACTAAACAAGAGTGGAGTCACTTGGTTTTATTTTCGTTGGCCAACTTTTGAATTGAACCTCAAACTGAGCATTTTTTGAGATAGACTCATTAAGTGGTTGTTGAACTGTGGGTTTTGTATTGAGTGCTTACTGTATAATACTGTTGTGAACTGTTTTTTTTTTTTTTCTTGTGGTCTGGCCGACCTGATTATATTATATCGTATTATTTAATGCCATGACTTGAGACTCAGATTATCTTTCTCATATTATAATTAATATATAATGATATTTTCTTCTCCAACATTGCTCTATAATAATTCATGCATCACCTAATTTCATCAGAACACAGGCCTGGCCTACAAGAAAGACAGTGTATATTTGATCTATCTAATATTGTGTTGGTCGTACTATACACGGCTTTACTGCTTGTCTGTTTTGAAAATTACAGAAGGTAAAGCTCTTAAAAATTAATAGCATATTAAATTGCAATATTGGTTAAAAATCATTCAGCCCTGTTTGCTAAAAAATAAAACAGGGTGTTTTACAAACGTAGGCTAAGCAATAGCTAGATGAACAGTCATCAGTGAAGACATACTACTATATACTTTATAACCACATTGAAATTCTTTTAATGGGATGTTTGGCACATCTAAATAGAATGCAGCCATTATTATACCTGTGAGCAAGGTGTGTGGTCACTGGTGTTTTCTCTTAAAAGAATGGTCTTGTTTGTGGTACACTACAATCGTAAAGAAACTTTACAGCACCTTGTTGGACCGACTCCTTTTTAAGAGTTGAAGCAAAAAATACTTGGCCCTTTTTTAGCTCTCTGTTTTTGGTTGATATGTGCAATTTCAAGAAATCGATACTTGGGTTTTATGTGCAATTACTTATACTACTTCTTACTGTATATTACACTTTAAAACCTTGCAGCAGTAATACAATTTTAAGTTAGGAGGCAGATTTTCCTAGAGGTTTGCCTCTAAGGACATGAATAGGGTAAGCATTTCACACGGTTAAATAAATTCGGATTATTTCCTCTAATGTTTTTCTTGCTCTCTCAGGTTCCCATCACTTTCCTCCCCAGGGACAGAGGGGACTATGCCCAGTTCTGGGACTTGGAGTGCCACCCTGTGTCTGAGCCCCAGCAGAAAACCAGAATCCGCTTCCAGCTCTGTGGCACCGTGAGGACTCATTCATTAGTTTTGTGGGATTTAAGTTGGCTTACGATTCAAACACCATACTGAGAGCAAGTGTGCTTTTGTAGTAAAAGAGATACACTGGAAAATTTGTTTCAGGTTTCATTTTGCCCATTACCAAGTATCATGACTGTTATTTGCTCTCCTTAACCATGCTTTATATACACTTTTGCTCTCCTGGCATGTCTTTATCAGACATTCTGTATAGCAAATAACAATTCATTCATGAATTAACATGTTTCACTTTCAAACTAAACAATGTGTAGATGACCACTGGTCCATGGGGAAAATGCTTACTTTAATTCATTGGAATGTGTCATAACCTTTTTATGCAGTAAGAAAACAAAATGGTTCGTACCTTGACTATGGCTTTGTAGTGTTAGTAACAGAATTAACAAATGAGAGAAGTGAGTTGTGGGGTGGTAAGGAGAGTCACCCTGCTGAGACAGGCCTGCGGGCTTTGCATGTGTGTCTCTTTAATGTGAAGTGTTATGACAGACCCGGTTAACTTAAGAGCACACATACAGAGCAAGTGGGATGTCAGATAGATGGCTCCACATAAGTAGGTTAAGTGGCTGTGATGGTAGTGCTTCTGCTGCTGTTGCTTTATTTCTTAGATGCAGTGTTAAAGTGGAGTGCCAAAAACTTCAGTGGTGTGAAATGCTAATATGCAACTCCAGTCTGCAAAACTTAGATTTAGATATACATGACAGTCTGGTGTGAACTAAATGTATATGGTATATTTCACATATACAGTAGTTTCCATCATGATGTCTTTCCATCAGTAACAGTCAAATCTTTTGTGCATGATATATAGTATCTCTCAAAAGTGAGCACCCCTCACATTTTTGCAAATATTTGATTATATATTTTCTTGTGACAACTCTGAAGAAATGACACTTTGCTTCAATGTAAAGCAGTGAGTGTGCAGCTTGTACAACAGTGTAAATTTGCTGTCCCCTCAAAATAACACATCACACAGCTGTTAATGTCTAAACCGCTGGCAGCAAAAGTGAAGACACCCCTAAGTGAAAATGTCTAAAGTGTTAATATTTTGTGCGGCCACTAGGGCTGTCCCCTACTAAGGATTTACATAGTCGAATCAGAATCGTCAAGTCCTGCCTATAGTCGAATCATGTGTGTTTGTGCACGGTGATTGTGAGCCGAAGCTAAACTGAGGCTTATTGTTGACCATTTTCTCTCTCTCTCGCCTGCCATTCACCGGTCTTGTGCAAAGTTTTTGCCGTACAGCCATGTGTATGTAAAATCAGACGTTGTGCACCCCCATATCGCCAAAATGGCATGATCCTTGTTTCCCTGCGAAGCTTCGACTGTGAGATTGACAGTCGAATCAGCATCGAATCTTTGACTATTTGGGGCCAGCATTATTTTCCAGCACTGCTTTAACCTTCTTGGGCATGGAGTTCACCAGAGCATCACAGGTTGCCACTGGAGTCCTCTTCCACTCCTCCATGACGACATCACGGAGCTGCTGGATGTTAGAGACCGTGCGCTCCTCCACTTTCCGTTTGACGATTCCCCACAGATGCTCAATAGGGTTTAGGTCCGGAGACGTGCTTGGCCAGTCCATCACCTTTACCCTCAGCTTCTTTAGCGAGGCAGCTGTCGTCTTGGAGGTCAGCTGCTTCAGTAGGTCACAGTACATGTTGACATTCATGGTTCCCTCAATGAACTGAAGCTTCCCAGTGCCAGCAGGACTCATGCAGCTCCAGACCAGGACACTCCTGCCACCATGCTTCACTGTAGGCAAGACACACGTTGTGCTCCTCACCTGGTTGCCGCCACACACGTTGACACCATCTGAACTAAACAAGTTTATCTTGGGCTCATCAGACCACAGGACCTGGTTCCAGTAGTCCATGTCCTTAGTCTGCTTGTCTTCAGCAAACTGTTTGCGGGTTTTGTTGTGCATCATCATTAGAAGAAGCTTCCTTCTGGGACGACAGCCATGCAGACCAATTTGATGCAGTGTGAGGTGTACGGTCTGAGCACTGACAGGCTGACCCCACCACCCCTTCAACCTCTGCAGCAATGCTGGCAGCACTCATCTATTTCCCAGAGACAACCTCTGGATATGACACTGAGCACGTGCGCTGAAATTATTTGGTTGACCGTGGCGAAGCCTGTTCTGAGTGGAATCTGTCCTGTTGAACCGCTGTATGGTCTCGGCCACCGTGCTGCGGCTCAGTTAAAGAGTCTTGTCATTCTTCTGATAGCCTTGGCCATCTTTATGTTGGAGCAACCATTCTTTTTTTTTTTCAGATCCTCAGAGTTCTTTGCCATGAGGTGCCATGTTGAACTTCCAGTGACCAGTATGAGGGAGTGTGAGAGCGAGAACACTAAATTTAACACACCTACTCCCCATTCACACCTTGTAACACTGAGTCACATGACACCGGGGAGGTAAAATGGCTAATTGGGCCCAATTTGGACCTTTTCACTTAGGGGTGTACTCACTTTTGTTGCCAGTGGTTTAGACATTAACAGCTGTGTGATGTGTTATTTTGAGGGGACAGCAAATTTACACTGTTGTACAAGCTGCACACTCACTGCACACCAGAGTTGTCTCATGAAAAAATATAATCAAATATTTACACAAATGTGAGGTGTGGACTCACTTTAATGAGATGCTTAACTTGAGACATAAGAGGGTATTTATTCTGTATTTTGTTAACCAGCAGTTGTGAAGTAGTATGGACATGTCAGCTATGTTTTTTTTGCACTTCTAGGCGCTTACTAGCCTAGATCCTACATTTCTTTTTGTCATGTGTCTAAAGGGAATAAAGCCTGGGCCAGTAGAAGGACCACAGGAAGGAGACTGCTCTCTGGTGAAGACGGAGGCCACAGTCAAGACCAGGAAGAGAGCTGATGCCTCAGCAGGCCAAACAAGGTGAGATCTGCTTAGCTAAAGACCTCTGTGGTAAAATGTATGAGCCAGTGAAGGAGACATCAAAGGAACAGTGGAATGATTGTCCACTTGTGTGCTGTTTATCTTGTGTAAAAAGCTCTGTTTCTAAGGATTTAAGGCACCAACCGTGAACCGCAACATCCAGCCGAGGATGTCGTTGCATGTCGTCCCCCATCTGTTTCCCCTTTTCATGTCATCTTCCTACTGTATGGGGCATAAAAATGCCCAAATGATACTAAAACGAAGCTCAATTTGTTAAACACACTGCCTAGATAAAAGGAATTAATGGGTATATAATTTAACCTTCATGAAGGGAAAAATTCCAGCATCCAGTACTAAATAGTCATTCATGTTGATTTTAAAAATTGTTTTAAATCAGCATTCTTTAAGGGACCCACTGTAATGACTCATGTCTCATCTGCAGATGGTGATTGTGTTATGATGGTTATGCTTCCTGTTTAAAATGGCACTATTTGTAATTCTCAGCCAAGAGGAGGCGGTGCGGAGGGGTGTGTATTCTCCACAGGATCTGTACACCTTCCCAGCTACCCGTGTGGGTGAATCCAGCACTCTGAAGGTCAACATCCGCAACAACTCGTCCCTCACGCATGAGGTGAGGCATGCCTTATTCTTATGAAGACATAGGAAGGGGAAACCTTATTTTATTGTTTTTTTTTTTTTTTTTTTCTCTCGCACTGCAGCAGAAACTGAAATACAGTATATGCCTATGCAGCACTATCTAGTCTAGAAAAGATGTAAAACAAGCAAGAGTATAAAAGATGGTTTTAAAATGAGTCTTTCTTTAGTTTTAGTTTCTGGAAATGAGACCTGGTTATCTTGGATATAGAGGTTTATCGAGACCAGAGATTCTAAATGTGTAGATACTATCTCACTTTATGTCAACTGTTTCTATTGCTATAATAGAAAATGCATGACTGACTAGATGTATTTGTTCTGACCTCTAACAATTGTCACTGTGCTTTGCATGGATTTGATATTTGATGTGTGGCTTCTCTAATTGACTTGCAGCTGAAATTTGTAAACCCTAGGGAGCCCTTCCACATCAAGCATTCGAAATATTCCCTGAGGTGAGTCCAGTGGTCATTATCCCTAACAGAAACTCTCTATTCTGCGCTGTTGATAGTAGCTGTGTGTAACATAGGGAATCACAGGTTTACAAGTTAGCTTTATGATGAGTACTTCTGTTAGTTTACTTCCTTTTTTAAGGCACTTTTACATAGATTCCTTTCATGAAACTTAGTAGCTAGGTGTTAAAGTTTGTCAGTTCTGGTAAATACAACTCAAAACATGCTTTGTAATGTAACTTGGAGTCGGTGTAATGTCATTTCCCATTGCTCACTATGGGAGGTCCTGTAAGCCGTTGGGACCCAGAGGATGACGTTACTGTAAACGGTACACTTGAGGCCTCGAGGAGTCCCGATGTGTTTTGCCTAACTAAGCCTTTGGGAGGGTTTGCCTGGCCACAGGTACCAGCTGTGCTGTGCTGATGTGAAACTGTGTTCAGAATGGCCACAGCATGTGTTTTTGTATTGTTGAAATATGAACAAAAACAATGTAAGCGTGGGATATGGAGGAAAAAATATATAGTGTAATTAATTTACTTCCTCAACAGAAATAAAGCATTGTCAGACATACCATTTCATCACCAATGTGTTTGTCCGCAACCTGACCCAGCGCTACACTAGATGTGTTGTGAGCTGTGTGCTGTGTGTGGATTCTTGGTAGCCTTGTGGTGACCCCAGCATGTTGTGGCTCTTATCATGTACTCTTCATTTTTACCACAACCTCACTTAACATAATGTTCCCACGCTGCCCCATATATTTATTTGTGAAGAGTTGTACAGTGTGTTTTAAAATTATTCTTTTTGCTATAGTCTAATATGTTACATTTCATATAGTGCAATCCTTAGTACTTGATTTTATGTTGTTTATGTTTATCTTCTTTTCCACCCATTAGATCACAGCACTATCTGAAGCTACCCGTCCAGTTCAAGCCCAGTACTGCAGGCCGACACGCTGGCTTGCTGCTCGTCCAGTCAGAAACAAGTGGAAGTCTTGTTATTCAGCTGACCGGTGAGACATCGCCTTGAATTCACCATCTACCATCCTACGCCACCTCCTCATGCTGGCTGGCTGGCTCGCTGGCTTTGGGTGGACTCTCTTCTCTGTACTGTTCATCATGGGACAGACAAGAGTAACAGCAGTTTGTAGTTTTGCTGTTTCCTCTCCAAGGATCGAATAAAAGCAACCCTGGACTTAAATCCTTTCTTGTTATCATACTTGGAGATGTAGAAAGAAAAACTGATTAACTGGAGATGACTGAGACTCTACCGCCAACACAAACCCGTCCACCTCTGGATGTGGCACAGGTGTCCTCGGCTGGCCCATGAAAAACAATTGTGCCTGAAGCTGAATGATTTGGTCTGACTGGCTCACAATTAGTGTGCACCACTCAGGCCTTTCAGAGAGCTAATGATATTTGTCACTTGACTCGGTCTGGTATTTGCCTTATCCCTGAGTCACGTCACAAGACAGCGTTGTTGTTGTTGCCATGGCCCCTGTCAGACAGTACCAGTTGGGATACGTTGGGGATTACTTGGAGTTGGTCACACAGGAATGCTTTTGTCTCTTGTTGATTAAATGGCTGCAGGGAGAGTTGTTTATTTTGGGAAAAATAAGGTTGTGTTGCCTTCTGTCTACATTTCAATTTTTTTTATTTTTTTTTAAACTAATCTTCCGTACTGGTGTGGTTTCTATGGAAATGGCTCCTCATCATCCCACCTGCACCGTGGCCTTTGTAACCACCATGTGTTTACTTCCCAGCAAACCACCAAGACTCGTTCCAAACAGTCCAGATGTACTTAATTTAGTCATGATCAGGGCAGCTCACAGCAACATTAGAACGGTTAATGATTGTTATTACATGCTAAAAGAGTATTCTCTGGTGGGATTTTTGTTCGGCAGCTTGCCAGCCCCGCTTAGTATGGTTACCATGGCAAAACCGTGTTAATCACTGTTCCAGTCACAGAAAATTAGCTCCCCATTTCCTCTTTTGGCTCTGGGGCAAATGGCCAAAATTGCTTTGGGGGTATTGGAGTCACATCCATAATCTGTTTTGGAACTGGAATGGCATGGGGAAATGTACGTAAACTTGATCGAGGATGCGTTGTTAACCTGTTTGATGCCACACATTGTGACTTCACCTTTTGGAAATGAAAAACACTAGTGTAGAGCATTATTTTCCTGCTTATATGAAGTATATTGTCACCGACTCCACTCAAAATGCCCTGAAAACTATCCTGACGTATTTTGGATTTACAATTTGCACATGCTTTAAAAAGTATATAATGTAATATATATTCTTGTATGTATTTTAAATAAAGTTTTGTGATAAATAGTGTGGGTTTCCTTGATTTAAAATTGCTGTCAGATTGGTAGTTAGGGGCAGGATATTATAAATGAAATATGGTTGACAAGTAGCTTTCTTTTTATTTACCTTCCTGTTTACATACATTATGTTAATTATTGTCGTGTGTTAATGTGACAGGTTCAGTGCTTTAAGACCACTACATTGAATGCCAGTGTCCACCAACAGATATTATATTGTGGTGGTTATTTTTTCATTAAATTGACTTTTATTTATACAGAGTGGTCCAATGAGAACAGTTCACTTTTTAGCTCAATAGGTAAACATTCAGACAAACACAACAATTTTGATCACCTGTATGATGTCCTGCAGCATATAGTTGCTTGCAATAACAAGAAGTAAGAAGAACAACGCATTTTCATGGGAGGTCCCTAAGCAAGTCGCTGGGATGCTGCTGCATTTGATCCTGAACCTGTGACCTCCCCTACAGTACGGGATCATACTTCTAGCCCAGTAAGTTGGCTGACATGTGGGATGGGGCCTGCAGGTGTCGTCAGAGCTTCATCAAGTGGGACTGTCAGCAGCATGTAATGTACAGTAGGGCAGCTGGGCTTTATTTTGCTTCCCAGGCTGGAAACCACTGTAGTGCAGTTGGACTTGACGTCTAGCAACACAACATCCCAGACTTAAAACAAGCAAGACGAGGCGACTTAGCACGTTAACGACTGCATTTACAGGTAGGAAGCCTGCCACATTTTCTTAGTTATTTCCGTACTCTGGTGTATTTTTTAATGCACAATGCGGCAGTCGTAGGCGGCTGGAGGAATGTTCTGGCTATGCTAACTGCTGTGGCTAAACGCTAGCCGGGCTGTCCGGTGTGGGGGTCTGACTTTGGGCCAGACTGTGGAAGTTGCTGTCTGGAGTTGGAGCCGCTTTCCAAGCTGCGCCAGACAGCAGAGCTAAGCTAACACGGCTAAGGCTAGTCCCGGCTCCCATCCACCCGCCGGCGCCACAGCACCAGTCCGCTATGTCGGTGTCCCTGCGGGGGGACTCCCGCTGACCTCACCGGTAACTATAACATGTAGGACCCCGGGTAAAGACTTATTTTTCTCTGCGTGGCTGCTCGTAGCGGTCTTACCCTGTTTGATTTGATGAACAAGCTAACTGGGAAGCTAGATTAGAAATTGAATACTGAGCTGTCACTCATGTTTTAGGCCGGGGGATAAGTTGCCCAACTTTTTTTTTTTTTTTTATGCAAATGAGACACGCGGTGCCTGTCTGATGAGGTGGTGTCATTAAGTAGCTTCATCTGGGATGAGTTAGTGTGGTCGGTTCGGACCTGTGTGTTTGTGTTTATTAACACTGTAGGGTGGAGGTGAGGACCACTGTGGGACTGTGAAATATCAACATTCATCATCCACACGCAGCCTGTGTAAATGTGTAGCGTGGGAAGCACACTACACATCTTTTCCTTATCAAACATGGAAGAAGGATCCTCTAGAACAGTCGTTCTCAAACTTCTTTAGGTCAAGGACCCCTAAACTGACACAGATCCCCATTTGAGAAGGTTTTGTCCCAGGATCACACAGCTGAGAGGATTTTGGAATTTAGATGTTTTACAGAAAGTAAAACCCAACAAAAAAAGTCATAGGTTCTGTCACTGTGTTACTTACGGATTGGAAATATAGTGAAAATAAATGATTCCCCTTTTTGCTGGGGACCCCCTGGAGGACCCCACTTTGAGAACACAAGCTCTAGAAGATGATGAGGGTATTTACTCATACTAAACCCAGCCCCAAAGTTTGAAACTGACAGTCCTATAAAAACATGGATGTATATGTGACACTGTACAGTGCAGAGCGCCAGTCTCTCTCGCTCTCACTGTCTGATGTGTTCCAGCCCACTGATCGGGTTTACATTAATTTGATTACTGGGCTCTGCTTTCTGGTTCTCTGCTTGAGCTGCTTGAGATTTTTTTTTTTTATGTGTGGGTCTGGTGGAGCGAATTCAAGTTGCGTGCTGAGGGTGTGTTTTGTTCCTTGCCTGGCTGGTTGGCCACTACCCTGCCTCTGCTTATCCTGAAGATTTCAGTCAGGGACCTATAGATGAGGAAGTGTTGTTTGTCCTAGCTTTTCAGTTCTCTCGGTCCTGCCTTCTCTCTCTGTTTACTTACCTGTGACCCCCACACCGTCTCTCTCAAGCTCTTTTTTGCATCCGGCTCCGGTGCTTTGTGGAGTTTGGATGCTTGTGTCATTGACTGTGGCAGCAGAGTTGTGTAGGTAGCTCCTGTGTTGGGCTGCTGCAGTACAAAGCTTGTTAAGATGGGTTCAATAAAAGGACACCTGTGAATGATGATGATGATGATGATGATGATGCGTGTACAGGTAAATATCGCCAACATGTCAGGGTGTTATACTGTTTAAGACTTAGAGGAATTAAAGTATTAAGGGATAATGCTGGTGTTTGCTTTAAGCGCCAATCATCTATATGTTGACCTTCTTCTATACATTATTTCTGGCAGTCTACTCGCTGCCATTTACTTTTGTACGGTGTGAAAAACATTAGGCTTTAAAGTTCCCTGAGCTTGATAATTCATTATAGAAAATCTAATCTTTATTTTATTATAATGGAACATATAATGTTATTTCATTATGCTGGAGTCAAGTACATTCATAAACAAGTCTTTTCAGGATTAATTCATTCTCTGATTCTTTTGTTTGAATGAGTCACTTTTGTATGACACAATGTTAATTTGTTGACAGAGGTTTTTGTAAACTGTTGACATTTATGGCGATGACAACATGCTCTGCTGACTGTCATTCATCTGAACACATGTTGCCTTCAGAGAATGTAAAGAAAAGACAATCTGCTGTGACGTCACGCCTCAGTTCCTGGCTGGTTATTTTAAAGCCTGAAAACTTGGTTTCAAATCTTGTGTTCATTTTTTATTGTTTATTTGTCAGGGTGAGTGCAGAAGAGACACATTGTAATAGGTTACAGTAACTTGGACAAATGTGTTGCATATAGGGTTTATATCCGAAGCTAATTTGCAACCCGTGTCCCAGGTTAGGCTACACACATCACCATTACCAAGAAAACAGAAACAAACAACAAACAAATAACAAAAACACACCAGTCACAAGAAAAAACAAGCACAGTATAAATATGTATACATGTGTCTATTTCTCTAACTCTGCTGAATTCTGATTGGTTGTTATGTGATAAAACGTTTCAGTCTAGCCACGCCTACTTCAAACCAGTGAGAAGAGCGCAGCCGAAAACACATACAGAAATGTCTCGTGGAAAACTTACTGTATTGTGTGTAATACTTTTTTGTTCGTGGACCCCTTCGCTCATAGTTAGAAGCTGACTGAGACCTTCATGTCTTCAGTGTCTTTAAGGCGCGTTAGTTGCTGAATAAACTCAATCTAAACATTACTTACACACTTGTAACGCAGGGAGAGAGCAGTCACCCCGCCCGGATTCGAACAAATTTGTAGTGTCAGTGTCCTCCATCACATCACTAGAAAATAATGCATTAAAATAGTTAAATTAATGGAGTTTCTGTACTAGAGAGACTCTAGAGTCTCTGGGGACTCGTATCTAAGAAAAATATATCTTGGAATCATCATTTATAGGCATCATTTATTTCCCTTCAGTATAAAAGGTGAATGTCAGCTCACCTGTGTTTTGTACCTGAGAGTGAGACGTCGTTACTGTTAGTCTTAGCTGCATGTGGGAGAGCGCAACACACTGAACACGGTGCGTTCCTTAAGATTCACGCCGTGTTGAAGTAAATGCTTCGTCATGTTGGAGCTGCTTCCTCCCTCACACCAAATCTCCTTACTGCAGGTGCTGCGTTTTGCTGTATTATCTTTTTTTAAGTGAAGCTAAGCCAAAACCTTTGAGAGTCGCCGTTGTCCAGTAATGTAAACAGAAGTACTGCGTAACAAATGACTTGAAGTTAGGTGTGCGTAGCAGGTACTGCCAAATAACTTTTAACTTTTATAGACTATAAAATGCTCACTGCGGTTTAATCGGGAGCGCCACTGAAACATAAACATAACCTCCGCTGGACCCCTCAACTTCTCGTACTTAGCTGGAAGTTGTGGTTCATCTGTTCACTTGCTTACCTTGGAGACGTTAATGTGACATCTGTGTCTGATAGAGCTGGACTGAATATGGTTTAAATCAACACCACAGTATTAGTGAAAGTGTTTTACATAATAAATGATGTTTAATGAAATGAACTGTTTCATTACGTAACACAGAACTCTTCACACACCAAGAACTTACATTTGGTAAGTTTCTGAATTAGTGGCTGTCTAGTTATATTTATTCCATAAGCAGAACAACGGTTGTTGACAAAACAATCTCAGCTCAAGGGCCACTTTTTGGGGGGACTTTTGACCCGACTTTGCCTAGTTTATCATGGAACTTTCCAATATTGTGAGCACCTTTGGGACTTACTGACGGCATGGACCTGAAATATAAATATCTATGTTGCAAATAACACCAAATAACTTGAATATTAAATGCTTAAACTAGGTGTAGACACTAGTGAGCAGAAGACATAGTCCATTCTAAGTGCAAATCCTTTGCAAAAAAGTGTGTCCGTAGAGAATATTTCATGGTCAACACAGGGATTGCAGGCTCCTGTTTAAATCAACCTTTATTTAAACCAAAGAACACACAGAGGGCGAGCTTTGTCTTTTTAAGGTCAGCTCTGTGTGCAACGCTGGAGTCTATTAATATAAAAGTGAATAAAAACCATCAAGTCATGAAATAATAACTAAGAAGGGAGGTTGAGGAGAAAGTCAGCGAGCAGACTGTGCGTATTATTAGCTGCGGTGATGTGTTCTCGTCTACCAGGTTGTTCTGTGTGTCTGCTTCACACAGCTCACTGTACAACTGCTTCTCAGAGCCAGACGTCTGTGTCCATCTGTCTGTTTGTGTTTCTGTCTCTTGTTCTAGTGTGTGTGTGTGTGTGTGTGTGTGAGAGACTGGAACTGACCGTCAGCCCATGTGCGC